CAAATTACGACAGAGATTATCACAACAGTTGTAAGGTGTATTTTAATTTTTAAACATTTTTCTTTCAATTCTTGTTTTTCCACTTCAACTCCCTACCAGAACGGGTTTTTAGAATCACGTTGAATGCAAATGAGTTGGAAGTAGTATTTAAAGGAAGTTCTACTTATTTTGATCGAGAAAGTGCGTAGGAGTCCTTAGTGATGGGTGTTTGGCTTCTGTCTAATTCATTCTTGAAGCTATTTCGCTTGGCCGTATTGTATGTGCTTGTTGATCATCGCCGGCCGGTTTAATTTAAGGTCCAGTTACGCTAGATATTTGTGTTTAACTTCGACTAATCTATTAATTAGTTTTAGTCTACTATCTTATCCTGATTTAAAAGCTCGACTGGAGGCTTTCCTGTAAGCCGGAGAAGGTGCCATCTGTTATCATTTCTTAATTATAATAATGAATTAATTTAATTAATTAATAAAGAAGGTTACTCTGAACCTTCTTTATTGATAGTAGATGGCAGCTTAACACAACCCAGTCCATATATTTTAGCCATATTTAATTTTTTAAGACCCTCATTTTTCAAAGAATTCTTCCAGATTTTTTTTAGGGTATAAAAACGAATTGTTTGAAAATAAATTTCTGTGTTAATTTTTGGCTGTATGCTAATCTCCTATTCATATTAGTTTTTAAATTTTTACCTTGAAATCTTAGCTAAATCAAACGGCGAATCCTAGATGCGCCCATACCGGGCTCACCGATCATCTAGGGCAACTGATAGTCTGTATTCATTAATTCTCCGCATCTCTTCGGTTAGTTCATTGACAACAATGCTCGTTCCAGCACTTTTCGAAGCTCTATTGAATCAGTGTGCCCACTTTGGGCACACCCAACATAATTAAAACGATAAGTGCTATCTTCACAAAATTTTACTTGTGTACTCCTCTAGGCCTAATTAAACTGCCTATTATTATATATATATATATATATTTTTAAATCAAAACTTCGACTTTAAAAGGTAGCGTGCCGGAAAGGGTTAACCCTTTTCGAGTCTACGTTATTAGTGCTTCACTAGGTTTCTCGACAGATCAATATAGAACAAGTAGCGAAGGAGTTTATATACTTATTCAGAAATATGTTTTTGCTTAAACTAGTACAATACTAGGGGTGTTAAACACACCCACAATTTTGATAACACATAGTTGATATTTTAGATAATCAAGAAGAAGGCAAAGCGAGAGACGTTTACGCAGGCAACAGCAAGCGAGAAAAGGTAATGCATACGAACTGTGGTGGTATTTATAGCCAGAAAGTCATTGCATTAATCCTGAGCAGCGACTGGGCTACAGAAGTTGCAGTGCAGATAAAGTGCAGAGAAAGAGTAACGTAACATGCGGGTAGAGTGACGCAGCAAAGCATATCCTTTGAAGCATATCCTTTGAAGCATATCCTTTGAAGCGTGGATGCGTTTAATTAAAAGCTATGAATTTATTTAGAGATCTATTGCCAGTTGACTCCAGTTAAGATTAAAAATTGTTTCGTATTTTTATGTTTGTCTTGAGGGATCGGTTAATTACGATAGAATTATTCAATGAAACAAGTTTGAAAGAAGAGCAGCAAATATTGCGTATAATTTAACAGATGTACAAGGAAGTCATGTTGTGTCCGAGGAGTTTTTTTTAGTTGTTAGACCTTAAATCAGTGGTGCCCAACCTTTGGCCTCTCGCAAGCACATTTTTGCTTACCGTGAGCACATTTCCAAAACATCAACATTTTCGTTAAACATATTTCCAATCTTATGTGATACACCTGAATAATTAATTTCGACAAATGGGTTGAAGATGAATAATATATTGGTTAAAACGTTTCGGAACGCGGTGTTCAAAATTATTTTTCAGTGCAGGTTAGGTTTGCGAGTATTTCTCTGTTCAATAGCCTTGTGGTTTTAATATGACTTGGATAAATTCTGAAAATGGCTGAAATTTTTTTCTTGCATCTGATTTATCCAGAAATTTAACTTTATCTGAAAAGCAATTACAGTCCCATCAATGAAAATTGGAAAAAGGAGTTTTTAATTTCCCTAGAGTTCGTTCAGTTTTTCAGTTAAGCTGTCATATCCGTGAGAAAATACAAACCGGATAACCAATTGTATCGTCCAATTCTTTATAACTTTCGTTTCCGGATTCCAAAACTGCTTATTGGCAAAAGAAGTTCTACAAATCGTTGAAGTACTTTTCCCCTGCTGAGCCATCTAACATCGGAACGAAGCAATAAGATTATCAAGTTCAACAGTCGCAATCAGTTATTTTTATAACGTCTTGCGAGATACAGTGGATGACAAAAAATATGGAAACACCTTGTGAAATGCATGTTTGAAAAGAAAGATTGATTTAATGAAATATGTAGGTGGCGCTGGCGTTTTTGACTACTGACGCCACCTATAAACTTTGTAAATGTGCTAAACAGTTCAGTTGTTGTGGAGTGTTATGTGAGGTTGTCATTGCATTATGTCAGAGTTAACAGACTTTGAATGGGACAAATTGTTGGAGCACGCATGGTAGGTGCTTCCGTAAGCAAGGTAGCCGAGGTGTTTAGTGTTTCAAGAGGTAATGTATCGAAGATTTATTCCGCATATTTGAAAGCGGAAAAACATCATCTGCTAAATCACAGCGCGGACGAAGTGTGTCCCGAGTGATCGTGACAGACGATCATTATAAGGGCAATTGTGACGAAAAATAAGAACACCACAGCTGCAAAAATTACTGCTGAAATGAATGTTGTGTTACCGAACCATGTGAGTACCAAAACAATTAGAAGGCAGCTTCATAAACAAGGAATTGCTGCTGCCGTGCTGCAATTGAGAAGCCACTCATCAGTGATGCTAATGCCCGTAACAGGAAAAGGTGGTGTTTAAGTCATAAAGCCTGGACTATAGAGCATGGAAGCGAGTAATATGGTCTGGACGAGTCTTCTTTCACATTGTTTCCCCCACTTCTGGCCGAGTTTACGTCTGGAGAACGCCATCTCAAGCCTATAATACAGACTGCTTGTTGCCAAGAGTGAAACATGGCGGGGGTTTTCTGTTATGGTTTGGGCAGCCATATCGTGTTCTCTGCTAGCCCCATGATAACTGTGTCAGGGCACATGACTGCCAAGACTTATGTGAACATTTTGGCTGATCAAGTTCATCCCATGGTACAAACTTTGTTCCCCGATGGTGATGGTGTCTTCCAAGACGATAAAGCCCCTGTTCACACAGCTCACATTGTCCAGGACTGGTTTTCTGAGCACGAGGATGAGTTGTCCCATCTCCCCTGGCCACCACGATCACCAGACCTGAATATTATCGAACCTTTGTGGTCTACATTGGAACGGAAAGGAACTGTATTCATCCATTCCGAGAAGACTGCAAGCTGTTTTGGATGCCAACGGGTTTCCTACACCATATTAAGCAAAAAGAAACATGTTTTTCCAACCCCTGTATCTCTTATGACTATAAATGCTTACCGTATTTTAAAAATTAAGAAATATAAATGAATAGTTATTTTAAAAATATTTTTTGTTCATAGTACCTAATCGGGCTGGCGAGCACACTTGTGCTCGTGAACCCAAGGTTGGGCACCGCTGCCTTAAATGATCTTTCAGAAAATTTTCATTTAAGTTTGTTTTCTGTTTTTTCAATGTGCATTAAATTTGCATCTGTATTTTGGGAAAGAAAATTTATTATGATTACAAACAAATTTCGGAAACTTCGCGTATTGTAAAATTCATCAGTAAGCATTATTTCTAATACTTCGACCGTGGACTTTGTTCTTCTTAGAGTACCTTCTAGGAACAGGGTGGAAGACAGACGTTTTGACGTCCGTTATTCGTATGAACACCATAGATACCATCTCAAGAAGTTCGCAGAAAGCCAGAACGGAAAATCCTAACCAAAGACTCAGGTAACCACCAAGGTGGCTGAATACCTCTACCAACTGAAAGAAAAAAAGAAAGAAAGTTTTATTATTATAGATTTGTAGGAAGTTATGTTAATGAAACAGTTATCATTTGAAACTTTAGTATAACTTCTTTCCGTAGTTCTCACCAGAATTCAGATTAGTAGTGGAGTATATAGGAAGAGGGTTTGAAAGTTTCAGAGTTAAGAGCTTTGGGCAATCTCGCTTGCTGTTATGTAATATCTCTAGCTCTCTGCCAAAGTTTATTCCGGCTTTAGCCATTTTGCTAGCCGGAGTTACTAGCGCACCGTTAATTACTTGAGCCAGCTTAGATAGACTAATTTGCGTGTCGTCTCAGATTATGTTACATTAATTCATAAGTGGTGAAGTTTCATTTGCAGCACAAGTAGTATCTTCTATTTAATTCAAGAATTAAGTAAAAAAGGTTATTTTAACCTACTTTAGACTTTTTCATTAGCTTCAAAATAGAACGATAATTCGCTTTTCAGTCTAGCAGTATCTGAAAAGACATTGATTGAGCTTTTATACAAGCAGAATTCTATAGATTTTATTAAGTTCACAGCCACATTAACCTATAGAATAAGCCCTTAGGTCTGCAAAGAATAAGCTGAACAGAATAAACCTACTTTGATAAGTTACCATTACCCTTTTTTCGCTTTATTAAAAAGGTATTAACAACGAGGAATGGATTGGATTATTTCGATTACGGTAACGAAAGGATTCGATTACTGAAACGAAAGGATGCTTTCGTGGAGGATGTTTTGAGGAAATGTAGATCACTACATTTGGGAAAAACCAGAAAACCTCCATGGAGCCAGCCTGTTCTCCTGGATTTGAATTCGGATCTGATTAAAAATAGTCAACGATTTTGCTGTTCGGCTGCTGGTAGGCCCAATATAAATTGAATGATGTATTAAAGATGTACATGGCCATTGTGACAATTTTAAGCTAGAACTTTATATAGGTGCGATTAGATTGCCGGCAGCCAGTATAGTGGTTAGTGACGCCATCTGCCATACCGATGGGGTCGGATTCCAATCCCGGACAAGTCATGGATGTTTGTAAGCGTATAGTGTCTGTGCGGCCAGGGCCACTCGAAATACACGACGAGCCGAAGTCCACTTGAGAGGTTGATGGTAGGATATGAGATAAGAGGGACCGCTGGATAACTTCTCTCAAAAGTGGTGTGAAACTGCAGAGTTAGAGCGGCGGAATTATACCTGTATGACCAATGATGAAATTCTGCTGTCCCGCCCCTTCTACACACTATTAATGGTGGGATTCTCTTGTCCCGCCCCCTTCTACCTAGGACCAATGGTGAAATTCTAGTGACCAGCCCCTTCCTACGCTCAATGATGAAATTCTGTTGTCTTTCCCACTTTTACCGGATGATTAGATTAAAAGGAGCAATATTAAGAAACGTTGCAGAAACTCCTAGTTAATTATTAAAATTAAATACCCATGTAAATACCACTTACCACTATTAAATACCACGTACCACTATTTTTTAATTGTGAAAAAATTGTCTCTCCCTCCCAAAAATATACGAGCCAATTCCCCTTAGAAAGCCCTCCACGAAGGCATCCCTCAACTTAGGCAGATAGCGCTCGAATGCTTTGCCATAATCAAATCAACCTAACGATACACCAAAAGTTTTTTTTCCATAAGTTTAAAAATATTTCTGTAAATACTAAACACACTTTCCGCAAAAAATGAATTAACACAATTTTAATATCTCATACAGCTTTCACGTCTTATTTATATGACATTTACCTGATTTCGCTCAAGTTTTTATTACTCCAAGTTATTCAAAAACTACTGGAAATGAAATAAAGAAAGACAAGATTTGTCTGTTACCTCATACTTTGGCTGATGCTCATACATCGTGATTTCCATTGTTCGTAAATACAGTTTAACTCGAACTAAATTTTTCCTAAAATTCATAATAAACTATTGTCAGAAAATAATAATGTATCTGTTGAACATTATGCATCTTACTCTATATTTCACTTTTATTTTCTGAGAAAATTTAAAATTTTTAGTGTGCAAGTAATTATATGGGGCTATATGATGAAGATTTAAAAATAACATCAGTATTTTAATAATAAATTGTGAACAATATATTATTGACAAAATACGTAAAAATTGACCATTTTATATAAGTGTATCGTATAAAATGTTTCACATGAAATACACTCGGAACGTTCAATGATGCTTTGTTTGTACAATAAAATAAAATGTTAACTAATAACGATATTATAATTTTTATAACGATATTGTGGCTGTCGGACGGGTTCGTAATAAACTGAATGCGAACAGAACCTATGATAGCTTGTAATAAAATTTACTTTAACAAAAGGGTTATTTTACCTTCACAGTTCTGGAACTTTCCAAAAAAATACTCGTACAGCTCTTCTGATTATGACAAAGCACAATCAGTGGCTACACTTCAAACTACTAGAAAGATAAACACAACCCAATGCAAAGGGCATCTATAGAGTGAAGCTCACGCGGAGATATCGCAATACTCCGTAGTCGGGAAAACATCTGATGATCTCTCGGTCTTGTATAATTTTACCACACCTGCAGAGGAATTTCTGGTACCAACAAGTTCTAGAAATTACTGGAAGTTATATTTAAGGCTGGATATTTAGTTACATATGAGGCCGGATATGGTTACAGTTATACATAGGGATCAAATCGTTATTCAATTACAGCACCGATTAGTTATACAAGGATCGGACCAAAATGTCGCCAAATTTTCGCCATGCTTGGTGACTTTTGGCGAATTTTCGCCAAATTTACAGACACAAATTTAGTCGCCATAGCCAACTTGCCAATATTTCGCCAATTTAGCGAGATAACCGTTTACTACAATTACAATTATACAAGGATCGAACGAAAATGTCGACAAATTTTCGCCAAGTTTGATGATTTTTGGAAAATTTTCGTTAAATTTCGTTACAAAATTTAGTCGCCAAAGCCATCGCCAACTTGGCAATATCTCGCCCATTTTGTGCGACAGCCATTTACCTCAATTTTAAACAGACTTGTCCTTGTAATCTTATTTTTACGGCAGATCATCTCTTAAGCATTTCAGTGTTACATTATAGAAAATTTCAATTCACAATTTCACTAAAATTATTGACATCTATACAGAATTTGTAACTATATTACAATAATTGTGAATATTATAACTAAGATGAAAAGAAAGAAACAATTTTAAAACAATTCTTTTTAATTGGAAACTAATTTCAAACCGAAACTAATTTAAGTATGCCAAATTTGAAGTTAAATCAATCAAATTTAAAATGCACTTGAAAGAATAGCAATTTATACCAATTACTTTAAAGAATAGCAATTGGTATACTTTAGAAAAGAAAATAACTTAAACACGTTGCAAACTCATTACAGCGGAGATTTAGTTGAAATTAGAAAACATGCCAAAATCACATTTTTAATGAAAAGCTTAATATCATTGCTTAACGCTTCATTTTTCCTTCAACAGTTACTATCGCTGAGCCAATTAAAAATGTCGTAGTTACATCTAAAATTTAAATATTTAGAACTACATATCTACTGCGATATGAAAGATTGACTTAGGATATATATATTAGATTTACATATAGCTTTTCAAATATAGGTATTTTGACATAAAATCAGACTTTTTCTGAAATAACATGCCAATTATTTTTGCATGTTTGTGTTTTGTTTTCAAAAGAATTGTTTTGTAATTATATATATATAGAGAGAGAGAGAGAGAGAGACAGCATTGCTCTAACATGGGTATTTTTACACAAAATCCGACTTTTTTCTAAAATAAAATAATGATTTTTTTTCCATATTTCGATTCTACAACTCAAATTATGCCTAAATACTAAATTTTGCAAATTTTGGTCAGAAACTCAAAAACTTATCTTTGCGCACTTTTTTTCAATTTTTTTTCAATTCAGTTTGCGCCAAGAATAATTCACTTGGCGAAATTCTTATTGCATGGTAACTTATTTTTCTTTTCATTTCATTGTGTGCGAGAGAAAAATGGTGCATTGTTCATTATTTCCAATAATTTTACCAACGTGCATAAACCACATTTGGCGTTATTATCATGTAACATTTTCTATATTATTCTATGTATTTAACAAACTAACAGATGATATTCTTAGTAAAACATAAATTTTATTGTCAATTAAGATAGATAATTTGAATAGAATTTTATTCGTTACAACTTCACACTCCAGCTTCTTATTACAGTTTCTTTCTCTGTAAATTTTACATACATCTACTACTCGTAAAACTTTTAGAATAATAATTTTAAACATTTCTGACGCTGCTCAACAACGATTACACGAAACAAATATGGCGTTGCCACTCCAATAACAAGGATGACAAATATAATTATTTGTTAAATAATAAAATATTACAATCAACATGCCAAATTTCGAAACGCGCCAATTTCACGTATGTCTGGAGAAAAGTTTGAACAAAAAAACAGGCAAATTTTTTGCAGGCATGTCTAGAAATGCACGTACTTCAAGGTGACGGTAAAAATTGTATGGTTTATAATTAAAAATTGCTTTTGAAAAATTTATAAAAGTTAGTAAAAAGCATAAATCTAAAAACTAAATCAGAAAATATATGCGAAATTTTTTTCGGATTGAATATAAGTTTCAAACTGCGAAAAAAAATCAAGTAAGTTCAATAAAACAAGAAGTATTAATAAATATATACCAAATTCAGTTAACACTGAGGGGCTAAAATTTTGCAAGCTAATGTTTTAAGAACTACTCGTGCGATTTTTACAAAACTTGGCACTTTGGCATAATTTGAATCATAGAATCAAATATGAGAAAAAATAAGTATATCATTAAAAAATGTCGGGCTTTGTGCTGGAATTACCCATGTATCTAATATATATCCCAAGTCCCGCTTCTAAAACATGAAAAACGGAAGTTAAATTTCGTCAATCGATCCAGTAGAACGAGAGATACAGAATTGTCTCTTCCTCCCCCCCCTGCAATATGTACATTCAGAGTTGTTTTGTAGAGATATTAGGTTATTTCGAAGCAGGAGACGTGAAAAAATGAGCAGTGCTCATGTTGGGACTTGAGCCACGGAACTCTGGAAATAAGCACTGAATGTGCTGACAATTACACCACGAAGGCACGCTAAGAAAGTGCCTTAGTTTTATCAATGCAATGCATGCTCTTTGGATAACCACCTCCTTCAAACTATCGGTTTTGAAAATGAAAGATATTTTTGAGAACTTAAATAACATCTGTCTATATCGCTGTTCCTACAAACACCCCGTTTAAAGATAAATTACGTAGATTATGTGAGATCTTCGGTGGTCATCTTAGAAGGTTCGACGTACTCGAAATGTTCGTAATCGCATCACAAAAGAAAACATGCCAATCAACTCGAACTACATATGGAATTTTATAATTTATAAATAAATATTTCAAAGGTTAATTCATCCTCTCTTTCTTGTATATTTAAATAAAATATATTTATATGAAATTTACCTGATTTCGCTCAAGTTTTTATTACTCCAAGTAGGGGCATTAAACATCTAAAAAAAGACAAAAAAATTTCAGTTAGTTTTAAAAGGAAAAATGACATGGAGGAGAACAGCTCAAATAATAATCAATAAAGTTTGTAATTAAAAAAATTATATAAAAATTGCTCAATGCCGTACAAAAAAATCTTAAAATATATTATTTTTATATATTTTATATTACATCCAAAGGAGCTTTTTTTCTTGTTTACACATACATACACTTGGACTAACGCCCTTTTGAGCTAAAAATATTTAAAAACAGCATATCTTTGGAACTTCCAATAAGACAGTCCCATGCATTTGTGATAAAAATGTTTTTCCCGTACAGTATTGCGATTTCTCGCTTTCAAATCGTTGAGTTTGTTTATCAAAAATTCGTTAAAGTTTCATAAAATATGACATAGGTAATAAAATAAATTCAAAATTCGTCCCAGGTTGTTCGGGTGGAGGACTACTTTATTCAGAATTGGATCGCTCTAGATACCATCGTTTTTTCACAGTTCAAGAAACATACGCACAGATTCTTCATTATTAATTTTCTTAAAAGTAATAAAGGGAATAATATTTGGTGAAAACAATTTGAAAAACGACGCGCCCTCTATGTATCCTTTTTGGGATTAATAATTAAACTTGAAATAGCAATCTTTGCATTCTAAACGGAAATCTGCTGTGTTAAATTTTGTCCCTTTTAGATGACGCTCTATTATTCTACTTCCACTAATTTCAAAACCAAGATGGACAGATGACGGGAAGGACGCCAATCTGTTGGTAGCCGCATTTTTGATGGATCTTCTTGGAATTAAATGTCCGAAAAGTTTCTTAGAAACGCACATTCAAAAAATTTCTTACTCATTCTCAGCTATTCGAGAATTCCTAGAATCCGTTAAAATATTTGTCGAAATTCAGTCGTATGTCAACAAATGTAAGCTAGTCGACTTAAAGTCATTTCACAGTGAATTTATACAGCGATAATGGCATGATTCTTTAACGATGTTCCTCTGCGTTTATCGGTTTAGTTGTATAATTCAGTAAACTAATAATGGTTGAGCAAAACTGGTGGGTGAAATAACGAGTAGAGGTAGTAGTATTTTTGAAAGCTAAAGCTACATTGGTGACTGTTTCAAATGGCGAAGACTGTGCATGCTGTAACTGGCATATTTGGCCAAACTGTTTAAGGAAATGAATGAAATGAATTTAACTGCAAGAAAGCTATGTCACAGTTTTCTATACAAATGCCAGTGTGTGGTGCCTTAACACGTTGAGCGCCACGCCTATGCTTTAGGCAATCCCGTTCAGGCAACGCTCTTCACTTAAAAGCGCTGGTATTATAGGGCCAGTGATTCGTATAGCAACAAGTTGTGAAAAAGAAGACATTCCGTTGAACAAAAATGCAAGACTATCTAGAAAACGACAACATGAACTCCGAAGAAAACCGGGAAAAAGCCTCTGAAGTACAAAAATATTGTAAATTATGTTATGGTAAAAATGCAACGGAAGCTGGTAGAAAGACCAAAAGAGTGTTGTCACATTTTGTAATAGCTGTTGTAATAGAACCGTTTTTATGTTTACCGTCTTTCAATGAAATCCAATGAATCAAAATAAAATCATGAATCAAAATTAAGTAAATTTAAAATAAATTTTGTGTAATTTTATAAAATAGTGTAAATTTTATAGTTATATATCCTGTTACACGCTGTCAGCCAGCGGCGGTAGACGCGGCCTAAATGAAAAGGTCTAGTGTCAGCCACAAATGGGTGACGCGACCTAAACGGAAAGTTTAGTGTCTATCACAGATGGCTCACGTGGCCTAAACGGAAAATCTAGTGTCAGCCACAGATAGCTGAAGTGGTGCTCAACGTGTTAACAAGAAACTTAACGTATTAGTGTGCGTGGAAAAGAAAGATATCATTATGAAATGCCCATCCATGGTAAGAAAGCTTCCCAGCAAAGCGGGATTAAGGTTTCCAGAAAACGGTAAGGAGAGGCCAGGTTGCCAGATTTGGCACGACATCGTCAAATTGATGACAAAAGAGGTGCCACAGATGGATGGAGAACACTCCAGAATGAATTCTTACCGGTTTAGCCCAGAAGTAATGTGTATCGAGTGTATCGTTGAGTTTTATCTTGAGTGTGTGGAGCTCCGAGAGCCATCGACCAAGTCAAGAGCTGTATTTTAGTGTTTTACCGGGAAGCTGTCTTCACCGTTACAATCTGAAGCCTGTGTTGCTGATTGTTTCAGTGTGTTTGTCGTAGTTTCTCGACGACTGCAATATTGTCTTTAGATCTCTCCTGAGTAATACTGACTAAATAAATTATGCTTTGATTCTTTGTCAAGTGCTGTTGTCAATCAATCCAAATTCATGAACCCATAGAACGCAAAAATATTGATTGAAAACAGAAGAGAAACAGGCCAAGGGATATCTAAGATTAGCATAGATATAGTCAAGATCTCAAATCTACGCCAAACTCAAGATCTTGACTAAATATACGCCAAACTTAAGCTTGTTGCGTTAAGATACTTATTGTTTACTTATTTCCCAAACATTTCTTTGAGGAAAGCGCAAGATTAAAAAAAAAAAAAAAAGAAAAAAAAAAAGAAATACGAAAGTCATACAGAGGAAATTCATAAAGATTTGTTTGAATGTTTTCAGACAGATCATGAGAATGTGCTTTAGGACTTTAAATGGGACTCGATTCCAATAAGAGCGAACAAAAAAAAACCACGCAGCTTAAATTGAACAAAACATAAGACTTTCATGGACTTGACATCCACATCGAACTCAAAATTGTGCTTTAAGGCCAAAGTCTGCCGGACATTTGGCTGCATTTATAAGGTAATTACACAATGTTATTTCAGAAAGCAACATTTGTATTGCTACCTTTGTTAACTACATATCTGTGTGAAGCAAGGTTCTCCAATTTTATAGGTACCCCCCCCTGAAAAAAAAAAAGCATTCGCAGAGCCAGACATTAAATGCAGAAATAGACATTCACCTACTATTATGCACAAATGAACCTACAATAAGAAAACTGATTAAATGCATTCATAGGTTTTCATTAATTGATTAGATATCATTCTGTGTAATTCTTAATTTAGGTCTGCTGTGTCATTATAGTTTTTTCTAGCTGCAGCATAATTATTAAAACTAAATTCGAATTTTTCTTATGTAATGAAGAATACGAATTTTGGATAAAAAGCAAAGAAACTGGAGGAACTGTGTTTATTCTATAGACTTTTACTATTGTTGCCACCAATAACGTAAAATTTCTACATTGTTTCATTTATTGAGCTTTGAATGAACTTTTGTGTATGGACAGATTTTGAATATATCAAGTGTATTGATGGTAGTTGAGAATAAATAGATACCGTGGTTAATTTAAGAATTTTTAAAATAGAATTTCATTGTTTGGGTATTGTTCAACTGTTTCTGTAGCTCTTTATAATACAGTCCTTTACATCTTTCCTCTTTCTAGCCCCATAATACTACTCCTAAATAAATGCTGTTAATTTGTTAGACACAGGGTAGGTCTAAGGGTCTCCACCCCAGAAATTGTTCCTAAAAAGTACTATGCCAGGCAAAAGGTCGGAAACCACCGATTTAACCTCCTTTTGTTCGATTTGATGTACCGTTGTTCCTGTTACCAATCTCACTTGTCAGACAGTGGTCAGAACAAGACCATGACATTCATTGTGGCAAGGAATGCTCCTGTTGCTGGCCTTGAGCACCATATAGGTGACAGCCATACTTAGCTCAGATCCACCCCCAATTTCGAGAAAGAGCACCCCGGGGAAACAAGTCTGAAGGTCTCCCAGCTCTCTTCACCTACCACCAGCATCTCGAGAAGACTTTCGGCTCGCCGCATCTTTGGAGTACCCCCATACCGCATAGACACTATACATTTACAAACATCCATGCCTTTTACGGGAGTCGAACCTCGGGTCCAGCACTATGGCAGTCGGAGTCACTAATCACTATCGCGATTTGATGTTCACAATTACATACGTGAAATATAACCCATTGGAAACCAAACTGTTGTCTAATTTCCACTATGTTAAATATGACTTAATGAGTTAATAAAATCATTCACATCGTATGATAAGGTATCTTTCCATACTACCCTCATACCGATCGTTGTTAATTCCATGTCATGCTTTACCAATATTTCTGTTAACGTTGGGGATGTTGTAGTTTTCCAAAATGCCAAAACACGAGGTACACATCTACATGTTATAGCAGTCCTATAAACAAAATTTCAACGTTCTGAGGCTACTCGTTTTTCGAGTTATGCAAGATACATACGTACGCACAGACTCCACGAAAAATTCTCTTCAGAATCCATTTTAAATTAGTTTTACAAATTTTTGGAAGAAAAGAGTCCTTTATCCTGTCCTTATGTACAGATATCATGCAGAAACGTCATTGAATTGCATTGGATAGCGGTGAAAATGGATATTTGCGTTGAAATATGCTTGAAATTTTTTGCGATTACAGTATTTCCTTTTTACTTCGTACAAGGAAGTAATAATACTTAAAAAACTGTTTTCGCATTTATTTAAAAAAGAAAATGTCATGACATACCTGTCGTTTCCTAGGCCACACAGATGAGTCTACGGAAGCTTCAAACGTTTTCCTTCTGTAACCAAAACATAATTCACATAATAAGAAATTATTTAATGTCAAAACAGATTTCAAGTTTTTTAAATCATTATTTAAAATAAAATTTTTGGTGAAGCAATATTACAATTTAAAATCATTGTCTTGAAAAATTCATTGGAAATTCTTTACTGAATTTATTTTTCTTGAATATTGAGAATATTCCTGTGTGCAGAAACATGCATGAATTGACTAACAAATACTAATACGAAGATTACAAACTTCGTTTGGATTTTGAATATGTTTAACAGGTATTATTATTGTTCTAGATGTATTATCAAAATGGTTTAGTAATATCCCACTAGATGGAGCCACTATATCAAAGTGTATAGAAAACCCACAGGCATGCAACAAGGGAACACAACTAGCGAAGAAACGGCCTTGTAAAATGCTAATTAATGCAAGACTTCCATAAAGTGTGAATTTAATGGCGTTAAACTTGCATTTTATGGACAACAACAGGCGACTACAAGCAGGTGTACATGTTATTGATGTAACAGCTACCTCTGTGCAATGGCGTAGGTAGAACTCTTGGGCCCCTGTGCGAAAACTTTTCCTGCCCCCCCCCCAAAATTAATTTACTGTGCTTAAAAAAAGGGGGCCCCCACAGGCATGCAACAAGGAACACAACTAGCGAAGAAACAGCCTTGTAAAATGCTAATTAATGCAAGACTTCCATAAAGTGTGAATTTAATGGCGTTAAACTTGCATTTTATGGACAACAACATGCAGACTACAAGCAGGTGTACATGTTATTGATGCAACAGCTACCTCTGTGCAATGGCGTAGGTAGAACTCTTGGGCCCCTGTGCAAAAACATTTCCTGTGCCCCCACCAAAAATTATAATTTACTGTGCTTAAAAAAAGGGGGGGGGAGAAAGAAAGTCTAGATTTGTGGAGATTTTTAAATAAAATCTAGTAGGTTTTACATCAAGTATATTTCAAGTTTCTATATAAAATCTGCTCCAATCGAAGTTTTTTTTCTTCGCTTAATTTAGAAAGCTAGTGAATAACTGGTTTATGTTATAAACTGACAGACAATATGATAAGGTAAATGTACAAAAAAAAATATACTAATATAATATATAGCGCTCTGTGATCAACTGAGCTTACAAACATGACTTATGCAATAATATACAAGTCATAATAAGAATGTTTATAAGTAATGATCCATTTGCTAAATATAAAACATTATAAATTTCATAAAGAAACTTTTTGAACTACATTTTTGTAGAAAATTGCATGATAGTTCTGCCCCCCTTTCTTTTTAAGAAAACGTTTTGGTACACTAAACTACTCGAATACATGATTTTTATACGTGATTTAAGTTTAAATATGTAAATGTAGATCAGCAGGACATTCATGGGCCCCCCCAGCCTTCGGGCCCCTATGCAACTGCATTCCTTGCATATCCTTATTTACGCCACTGCCTTTGGAGGTGTACTTTGGGTAGTGCTCCAAGCAATGGTTTGCTTTGGCTAGTGACGCATTATCTATTCAAATGACCAATGGCAAAAAGCCTCAACATTCATAACACGTCACAAATAATTCCAAGATATATAGATTTTCTCATAAAAGGTTGGTTTATGTGATTACAGAAAAGTCTCGAGAGCTATCTGCTTTGTGGGTTACTTTTTAAAGGAAACTGGCTCATATAGATGTTACACGTGGGGAAACTATAAAAATGCCCATCTAGCCATCCCCGTACGCGAGATTCGAACCTCGGACCAAACTACCAATGTTCGGTGACTTAACCACTCGGCCATGTGGGCATCCTCATAAAGTGGAAGGAGCGAGAATCATCATCAAACTAATGAATATTGTAGCGAACATAGGTGCATATTTGTGTCATCCGTAGCAAGGAATGCTTCATCAGACAACGAATTTCACTTCCTTCAGCAGCATTCTCCCCCTATCTCCTATGTGCGTTTCCTGCTCATATAAAATGGATCATTCTATACCTTCTTTATACAAATTGTGTCGTTAAAAGGCAAGGGACTTACGATACAACTAATTTGTTCTTACTAAGCTAATTAAACATTAATGCTGAAGAGGTATTACAGCACTAGAAATGTTTTGCTAACGGAAAATTGCAGTATTGTTGCAGTGACAGATTAAGAGAAATAAATTGAATGAAATGATTCATAAAGAATACATAAAATTAATTAGTGTCTATTCTAATAGCCCAAGAGAATAAATTATAAAGTATAAACATTCTTGTTTGATAAGCTCATTAACGACTTAAAAATACTTTTTAAGTAAAAAGGACTTGAATTATTGCAAAGCACGCGAGGGCTATCTGCCTAACAACATGGAGAACTTCCTAAGGGTAACTGGCTCTTATACATGCTCCACATGGGGAAAAACCACAATAACGTCCTTGCAGTGGCCTGGAATCGAACCCGGGTCTGAACTACCAGCTGTTAAGCGACTTTACCGCCCGGCCGCTAGTGAGCACATTTAAAAATAGTATCTACGCAGAAAAACGAGAAAATGGGAAAGAGAAAACATCCTTCATCACGCAGACTGTGTCTAGAAGAACTTTCCGAATTTATTTGTCATCTCAAATACAGATATATTTAGAATTCTATAATCTCACTGTGGCTAAAAATGCATGCTTCTTGTTCTTCGTGTTTTGCCTTGAATCTATAATTCCTATCTAATAAGTTCAGAGAATGTTAGCATTCTAAAGTGCAAAGCTATTATTAACGTTGCTCTGCCCTAAGGTACTACACAGAAGGGAGTGATGCCTTCATGGAGGACATCCTAAGGAAAGCTGACTCTTATTAACACATTCCACATAGGGAAAACGCCCATGCAGCCAGCCCGATCGCATGATGCGAACCTCGGATCGACTACTAGTGTTCAGGGAATTTACCGCTCGACGGTGCGTCAAGTTCAAAGCTAAACAGTTTTTCATCATTTTAAAATTATTTCTTTATGGAAAATGAATTAAATTGTAAAATTACTTACTCGCAGGGTACTCTACAAAGTGTTCGGCAATAGTCAGTCGTATTCTTTTCTACATCTTCCGCACAAAAGGCTAAAATAGAAAAAAAGATGGTATTTTAATTTGTAGGTATATCCCCGAAGGCTTTTGTTTTTCCCATACATGGTTACAGAATTAAAATTTTTGTACACCGTGCATCTGCAGAGTTTTAAAGCTAAGTTCATATGTAATCAAAAATTGTAGAAATCAATATCTTATTTTTTAGTCTCCATATAAAATCCTCGTAAGTTTGTACAATGCTTGGCAAGTTTATTCACTTGCTTAATTTCTTCCCAGAATTCATCTTCTGGAATACTGTTTAAGTTATTGGTAAAGATTTTTAATGTTTTCAATGCTGTTAAACTAACCAACTTTGAGATGAGGCTCTAGGGAAGAAAAAGTAATCTGCAGGTGCGAAATCTGGTGGATAACAGGAATAATAACCGAGAAAATTTACTTAGCTAGAAACTATTTGGAGAGAATGAGGAATTCTACCATGTTGTCATGTAACAGAAACTTATTATTCATTTGAGAATTTTCAGGTCTAATATGGTGAATTCTCTTCATTCTCTTCAGAAGTTTGTTATTTACATTTTTCTAAAATGCAAGGTGCACCTTTTATGCGGTTTCTTATGAATTATCCATTTCCTGTGGGGTAAATGTTCACCAACTCGTTAAGGTCACTCGAGACTTCTGAGACCAAAGTTTCTCCGGAAGTATAAAGTTTTTCCAACACAAGTCGAAGATTGCATTCTTAGCTCAGTATCTTATGCAATGAACAATATTTCATTTGCAGTCAAAGTTTGTTTGATAAAATCAAGATTAAGTTTTTTCATTTCAATCAAATAATTTTCTCCTCTTTCGAATCAATGGTAGCAGATGTTCATTGCCTTAATGAAAATGCTTAAATGCACAGAAAATTCTATCAAGAAGCAGACGATATCGTTGAGAAAGTAAGTTGAGATATCAAAGAACAACAATAAAATTTCTACGTGGTCCTACAACTAGATGCAACGACACAGACTTGACTCCAGCTGAAAATCCAAGGCAAGGGGCCAAAAATCACCTGGAAGGGGACACAAATCGTCAGAAATGTTGCCTACCAGTACTATGCAGGACACCTGATGTGGCACTTTACTTACAACAGGGCTTACACCGCCTCACTCTGCAAGCCACTCGAATAAACGAGGGCAGGTCACATCAACCGCAGCTCGTGATTTTATACCCCACCTTGGCTGAGACTGTTTAGGTACAGATCCTAGACAGTAGCTTCACAGGTTTTCCTGCGTTAACCCCCCCTGCGGTGGGAAAGGAAGACATGGAAGAAATTAATGTTGCTGATTTTCATTTGGAATGCTTGCTGAAATTTGTCAAAAAAAATTAATCCAAAAACTCTTGCAAAATCATGTAGAGTCATTAGGTTAATTGGAAGCAGAAAAGATGAAAAAATTAACAACCGCCTTCGCTTGAATCAAACCACGGACTTCTGAAATACCGCCCAGCGTGCTACCGCTACACCATGAAGCCACACTAAGGAAGCGAAGAATACCTTATATACTCCCTTTTTAAAGGACGACTAGCCCTAGGGAACCTGGTGGCCAAATCCTGGGTGCGGAAATCATCATCCACAGCTTTTAGTTTGGGTGCCACTTGTAAGAGTCATTAGGTTAATTGGAAGCAGAAAAGATGAAAAATATGCACCGCCTTCACCGGGAATCGAACCACGGTCCTCTGGAATACCAGCCCAGCGTGCTACGTTTACACCACGAAGGCACGCTAGAGAAGCGGGAGAAATACCTTATAATCTGCGTTTGCAATCAAGTCTGAAAATTTGTAAACTCGTGGGAAAATCTGGAGTCATGGTGTTAGCAGTTGTACTCAATGCACTTTTTAATTCAGTAAACAAAAATATTAATTTTATTAACGAGATCTAAATAATTATTTATATGCACCCAACCAAAATCCAAAATTTCCAACTTTTGTTTCTTTTATCCAAATTAATGTTCTTTTTTGTTTTCATTGTTTTATGTTGTTCCAAAAATAAAGGGAGAGAATTCAAAATATTGTTGCATGCATATGGGTTCGTAATAGATTGAATGCACAAGTTCGATAACAGGTTAATAATATCTATTGTTACCGAAAGAAATACATCAGAACTCTGGAGTTTTCCTCAGAGATATTCATACAAGTGTTCACAATATTAAGCAATATAATCAATAGTTATGCTTCAAGCTATTAAGAACATTAAATATAACGCAATGCAAACCGCATCTAAACAGAAAGCTAACTTGATATCTCAATTCACGCGGGACTAAAAAAGCTCGCAACAACAATCACCAAGCAACTGCTCTTAGACGCTGTCTCTCCGCTTTTATCTCTCTGCTTTTATAGGTTTTAACGGGTCACGAGAAAATTCTACTATTTTCTGTTTAAAAAGACAGACAAAGTTGACAGATGTTTTGTTTTGCACCCGCTAAGTCTTTCTGCACCGATGGACGAAAAATCAAGCTTGGGTGCGAAGGAAAGGTATATACTCGAAAACAATAAGAGGATGGAATTGCGGTTACAGCTAACATTGTGCTCAATTATATTTATTCAATTTCAATACAAATTACCGTGATAACTATTTACACAATGTTAAATGCCACGTGTCCTCTTTTCCGACATAGAGGTTCGAATCCCATGATTGGGCTGACCGCATGGGTGTTTTCGTGGTTTTCTCCATGTGTAACGTGTATACGAGCCAGTTTTCCTTAGAAAGTCCTCCACGAAGGCATCCCTCCCCTTAGACAGATATCCCTCGAGGCTTTGCCGTAATTAAAATAACCTAACCTAACCTTTTCCGACATAGCTTTCTCTTAAAATTTGTCTCCCGCTGCATCGCACTGGGAAATACAACAATTTTAATAATCATTCTACTAAAATTATATATCTAAGTACAAAATGCATAATAATATTTTGTGAAATACAGGTATTATGTAGTCTTGAAATCTTTTTTTTTTTTTTATTGAACTTTGTAAGTACTCTTGGTATGTGGAACCAATTAAAATCAAGCTAAACCTTTAGGTAATTTTCTTTTTACTTTATATCTTTCTCGTTTATGCTCCGAAGAACTATTCCCTTTTGATATATCTTTCAAGCATGATATTTTGAAAATGTATTTTGTTTCATTCTTTGCTTTTTCTAATGAATTAAACAGCCCACAATTCTCTAACGAATCGAATAAAGCTTTGAAATAGATGACCAACCAGTGCACCTTTGTCTTGTCCAACATCCAACCCTCGTTTTCTGTCCCCAATGATCTGTCTCGAGTCCTTTTTCTCGATGTGCTAACATTGATGTTAACTCCTCGATGTGAACTTCGACTGCTCAGAGATGATGTTAACTCACAGAAAGAGTGATTGGGATTATTAAATTATGGCAAAGCACACGAGGACTATCTGCCTAAAAGAAGGGATGCCTTTGTGGAGGACTTTCTAAGGGAAACTGGCTCGTATACACCTTACACATGGGGAAAACCACGAAAACGCACATACAGCCTGGCCGTTCGCGGGATTCAAACGTCGGACCGAACTACCAGTGTTCAGCGTCTTTACCGCTCAGCCGCTGATGGGCTTAACTCACAGAAAGAACTAAAACTTTTTGGCTCCTCAGTTTCACATTGTTTTTGATTACTCGCATATCCGAAAACATTACTTGCACATGTGAACATTGATCAGTAGAGTGCATCTTAGCCACACACATTTTTTTCTCTTCGATTTTCTCAATCATGTTAAAGTAGCTGATAGTCAAGTTGGTAATTATTGCTAATAAATGGTCATGGCTAACCAAGTTGATAATCACTGCTATAAATAATAACTAATGTAATAAATAATAAACAATAACTAAAGCAGACAACTCGTCAGCACACACATAAGCAGACAATCATATCGCAGACTTTAAATCTGTTCTTTACTTGTTTTTCAAAATAAAGACATTTTCCATTTTTAAATTGCTTTACAAATTGTTCCATTCACTTCTTTCCATTAGCAGTTGTAAAACCAAGAATAATCAAGTTTAGCATTTTGATATTTTCCAGTGTTTTCAAATACCAAGTTGGTGGTTTTGCGTGTTAATAGATCGTATAAATTTCGTGAGTAAGCATGCCAGAACAGTAGAAAATTAACCAAAGTTTTGGAGCCTGTTTTACGACTTCATTCGGATTTACTCCGGATATCTTCATCACCGGGATGCTTTTATCAGTTTAAACCCCAAATATAAATAGTACTGCGAATAAAAATATGACAACATTTAAAGCTTTGTACACATGCACACTGATCCCAAACTGCGTCCATCGCACATATATTTTTCTCTTCGCCTTTTCCATTGTAAGATATTGTTACAGTTTTTGTATTTAGTTTGCTATTTTTAGTGGAATTGCAGTTAAATTATTTCATTTCCTCGTGCAATGCTGCACGTGACGAGTTTTAAGAGAAAGCTACGCCAAAAAAGTAAATATTCAGGAGCACGCGTATTTAGCATTTAATAAATTCATATATCGTAATTATACCCTTTTGCTTCCCGTAAACATCGCAAAAATTACCAGAGTGTTCTAGTACATGATTAGAAGGCTTATAAAAGCCGGAGGAAAACATCTCAATTCATTTGTTTATTTAGTTCCTTTTTTGTTGATTGTAGCAAATTTGTGGCGAGATTGGATTAGTTTTCTCTGCTTTTAATTGTGTTCTGTGTAACGTTTAAGTAGTTTAAAAGATAACTACTGTGAGATATTGTATGAATATCTCTGAGAAAATTTCAGCATTTTGTTTTATTTCTTGGGATAAGAATACATTTTATTAACGTTTAACCGAATTGTGCATTCAATCCATTATGAGCCCGTACGCACCCAACAATATTTTAACTAAAAGAACTGAAACACAACGAACGAAAATTATACCTTTTTTTCCCTCGCATGGTGAATCTTCGAAGACCAGCGTCAAATTGGACGAAACGCATTTGCATGCTTTCAACTGTAAAGATCTGGAACATTCTTGGGTGCACATCTGATAAATGAAAAGAAAAATACAATTAATCTTTCAATGTCATACTGAGATTTAATACAGTCTAAAAAATATATATTTTAGTAGACCTTACAAAAAAGTCTGTATACACCAGATTTTTTTTATATTGTACTTACTGCATAAAAAATTTATGCATTTAGAAAAATATATTATTGATTTTTAAAATATATTACATAATTTTTGTGTATTTTTCTCGTTTACTTATTTTATATCATTTCTTCACCATATGATACGGCTTTATATCAGTTAACTATTAATTAAAAGTTTTATAAATAAATTTTGTTATCAACGGAATCTTCATTACGCCGATCGACTGCTAGTGCATATTCGTCTACCAACCCCTTTAAAATTCCATTGATGGCCAGGTGAATCAATACCTGCTCCGTTGTATTGTTGCCGCTGATAAAATTGTATTGTTGTATTGTTGCCAATGTATTGTTGTCGCTTTCACTTCTTTACAAGATTATACACTTTTGCAAGATAAAACTAAAAGAGGATGCTCTAGACCAGCGGTTCTCAATCTTTTGACTAACGCTTCTGAACAAAAAGTGAAAAACTTTAGTACCACCACTATGTTTTATAATGATTATTTTTCAGTTTTTCAATAGAAATATTAAAAGTATACATATATATTGCTACAAAATGTACAGGCATAGTGAGATAGCTTCTCCACGAAGCAGGTTTAGGGTTGAGAGCAAAGTTGCCACATTTGGCAAGAAATCGCTCATTTAGCGACAAAATTGGCGATATACCATGGACGGATGGATAACCTCCTGGAACGAATTCTTACCGGTTTATCCCAGAATGTTCTTGACACAAGCCAAAAGCTATAACCCTGCTGGTTCGCATCAGTGTTGCTTCGTCTAGCGAGGATAGTCAGTCATGGAGCGAGTGTCTCGAAGTCTAGCGCCGGGTGCATCACGTGGAGAGTCTCGAGAGTACGTAGAGTTCCGAGAAGACCAAATCAGAATTGCTTGCTGTACTCGGGGTGCTTTGCAGAAGCTGTTTCCACTGTTATTGCCTGACAGTGTGAAGGCTGTGCGTGACGTCAGCGTGTTTATGACAGTTCACTAACTGTAAAAGGGATTTTGGAGCTATCTGATTAATATTGGTAAATAAGATGTGTTTCGATACTTCAAGTGTTGTCGTTATTCACTCCAAATCTACGAACGTGAAGAAAGAAAATAATGTAACAATATGTATATTTCCATTTGGACAAGATATTGGATATTTGTATTAAATATGCACACAAAAATATTAGATTAATTAATACAATCTGAAAGGTTTCAAATTTTAAATTACGTCCAAAGTGGTGTTTTTTTAACATTTTGTCTGTTACCCTTATTTATTAAATATCATGCTCTTTGCACTTAAACCATAAATTCAGTTCAGTAAATGTCGCAAAATAATTTTAAAAAGGCCTATGTTTTAGATTCCGATACACATTCCGCGCGCTGGAGGTAAAAAGGTTCCTCCCCTGCCCCCGTAGTGTTGCCATTGCCACTTCAAATCGTTGATTGTTATTCAAAAATTCATTAAAGGTTTACAAAATATGTGTATTTATTATAGCAAAGCACACTAGGGCTATCTGCTAAGGGGAGGATGCCTTCGTGGAGGATTTCTAAGGGAACTGGCTCGTTATATGTTACACATGGGGAAACCACGAAAACCGCCCATGCAGCCAGCCCTTTGGCGGATTCGAACCTCGGACCGAATACCAGTGTTCAGCGACTTTACCGCTCGGCCGCTGGTGGGTTCCCGTTTACAAAATATGAAATTGATTATAAAAAAAATTTCAAATTTGGGCTTCCAGATACCCATATTCGCAATAGGATTCCGTCATTCAAAATTTGATGGCTCTGGGTACCGTTGTTTTATCACAGTGTGAGAAATATACATACATTAATGCAGATTTTTCATTCTTTAATTTCTTCAAATATAATGCAGGACTAACATTCGGGGGCAACAGTTCGAACACAATAAGAAACATACATTTATGCAGATTCTTCATTATTTGATTTCTTTAAAAATACATACCGGCTGTATATTTAGTGGCATCTGTTGCCACCTTATCGCCTTGTATTTATTTGAGAAATCAAATAATGAAGAATCTGCATAAATGTGTGTATGTTTCTCGCATTGTGTAAAACAAAGGTACCTAGAGCCATCCAGTTTTGAATGACGTAATTCTACTGCGAATATGGGTATCTGGAAGCTCAAATTTGAAATGTTTTATTATCGATTTCATGTTTGTTAAACTTTCACGAATTTTTGATTAAGAAACTCAAGGATTTCAAAGCGAGCCATGGCAACGTGTACAGAAAAAAAAAATTTATCTCCAATGGGGAGACTGTATCGGAAATTCTAAGGATAGGCTCAATTTAAAATTATTTTTGCGATATTTCTTTTGAACTGAATTTATTGTTTAAGTGCAAAGAACATGATATTTAATAAATAAAGGCAACAGACAAAATGTTAAAAAAACGCCCCTAAATGCATGCTTTTTTTTACCTAGGAAACAAACCCCTGCACGGATGTTGATTCTTTTAGGGGGAGAAAAGCCCCCACCATATGTCAAAGACTTTTTTTCCAGGTCCTATTAATTTCCTTTTTTTTTTAAGTCCTATTAATTCTCTAAAGTAATTTTTTTATTCCAGTCCTGGCATCTTAATTTAAAATCTGAAACCTTTCACATTTTTATCTTTTTTTATTTATTATTTTTTTTTTCCTCTTTCCAGATGGTCTTCTATAGGGCTCCGGTACTTCTAATTTTAGAAATTAAGCCCTGCTAACTGTTACACCACGAATTCATGCAGAAAGGAGGGAGAAAATACCTTATAAAAGGAGGGAAGCATTGGTTTGGGCTTATGTTATTCAAGAAGGGTTCAATAAGGCTCAAATACTGAGGTGACACCAAAGGCGCGGGAACCGAAGGCACTGAAGGACTGACCAAAAGTCCAAGGCACTGAAGAACTGAACGCGCAGGCATCCAAACGTGGCAAACAAGAGGGAGACTTTGCTAATGATCGCTTCTGCTTAAATCATAAAGCGTCTTGCTTCAGTTTAGTTGATCATGGCGAAACACTCTACAGCTATCTGCCTAAAGAAAGAAAGATGCGGTCGTGGTGAACTTTCTAAGAAGGAAACTGCTTGTATACACGTTACACGTGGGAAAAACAGTGGAAATACCCATGCAGCTAGTCCAATCGCCTGCAATCGAACCCTGGTCCTAACTAGCAATAGTTAGTGACACTTCATGGTGTTATGTTTAAACTTAGCAATAAGTAAAAAATATAAATTTTCAAAGATTTTTTTAAGTTTGATGCTAATGGTTATTGAAAAGATTATTTAGGATATATTGACCAGAGATAGTGTATATCACATCGAGGATGACAGCTAAACGGACCGGCATAGAACAATCACTGGAATATTCTGTTAGAATAGTTCTACATCGTATGCAGACGCTCTGACGTCAGAATCAAAATCAAGAGTAGCAAAATTTGTCCGACTATTAAAATTTAATTAAAATGTAACTTACTTTTGGTGTAAGCGTGCCCTTGTTTCGAGATGCCCACGGCATAGCACTGTAGATGGTACAATTCGTCTGGTAGGGTAACGGTAGCAGCTTAGTCGTTGTCTATACAAAGAAACTTAGAATTAATTTACTCGAAATATTGCCAAATAAAAACGCATTTGTAACAGACAATAACAAAGCATAAAGAGGTGAAACTGAAATTTTAGAATTAACTTTAAAAGATATTTTTATAATTCTTCCTATCTGCATATCAGAATGAAAAAAAAAATAATGGGAAATTAAAATAAATCTAATTACTATGTTTTAGTTAATTTATATGTCATAGAACGAATTAATTTAACATTTCGTAACATACTAAAACCACGACCATTGAAGTATATACTATAAAATTAATATATTGCAAAGAAACCATTTCAAAGTTATATACACTAAATGTAACATTTTATATTTTCACTTGAAGTTAAGATTACAGTTAACACTGATTAACTACGAACAGATTAATCGGGCTGTATTTAGAAAAAATATTAGGCTTGTTTACTGAGCAAACAATGGAAAAATAATGGCCACAAATCATCAACACAACAAAAAATATTCCTGGAAAATCCGAAAGGAAAATGTTTGAGATAATAGCAGTATTTACAGACAATGTCATAGAATTCGAGAATCGTTTTTATCCGTAAAAGTGCATAATTTAAAAGTATGTAATTAAGAATACACAACTACGTCAATAAAAAAAGTTCTTACTTTTAACAAGGGTACTTGTAATGGAGTCTTTAGATATCGGATTTTTAATTGTATTAGACAAAGACAACAACAATAAAATTACCTAAAATATGCGCTGTCTTAAAATTAACTGCTCGAAAGGAGAGAATAACTACGGAATTTTTATAATCATTCAAAGCGAATGTTGTATTTCTTGCGTCGAAATAAAATTTTTAACTACTTGGTCAATAATATAAAATGAGAAAACCTCTGTCGGTTGCAATAGCTCTTAAAAAAATTCGATATGGACACTACGACTTCCCTGTACGCTTCATTAATATTATACATATTTTTTGCTGTACTTCATTTGAACTTATTTCCTCGAATTATTCTAACTTAAATAACCGACCGCTCGGAGCAAGTCGAAAATGACATCAAAAATTGCCAATTTTGTAATCCTGCTCAATTTTTGTCGTACGGGAGTCAAACTTCTTGAATTTTAGTTTCTCATAACGAGTAATTATAGGAATTGGAAAACCACTCTAAAGTTATTGTTCTGAAATTAATTTTTCTTAAATTTGACATTTCCAAAACATGAATATATTTGCAATTTAAAAACTTCTGTTATTGGAAGTGTATGGACAACGACCATCAAATACGAAAATGAAGGCCGGGGAAGGATGTTTAAGCGGGGTGAGGGCGGTCGGGGTGTATATAAAGTAAGAAATTTAGAACTAATGTTTCACAATGGTCTTTGCGAAACATTAGTTCTAAATTTCTTACTTTATGTCTTTACTGATAATTTTCAGCAGGTTAAAGTGCGAAAATAATAGGCATATTTATATTTTGTTTCTAAAAAAATTGCTTCGTAATTATATACATATGTATGTAAAATACCTATCTTTTAAGTAATAAATTAATAATAGCTCTTTAACCCTATAAGCTCTATAAATAGTAATAGCACGCTATCTTTTAAGTAATAAATTAATAATAGTTCTTTAACCCTATATGCTCTATAAATAATAATAGCACGCTAACTTTTAAAGTCGGAGTTTTGATAAAGAAAAAAAAAAACAGGTAGACAGTCTAATTAAGCCTAGAGGAGTACACAAGTAAAATTTGTGAAGATAGCACTTATCGGTTTATTCTGTGGGCACACTGTTTGAATAGAGCTTCGAAAAAGAGTGCTGAAACGAGATTCGTTGTCAATAACTGACCGATGAGATGGGAGAAACAAAGAATACAGACTCTCAGTTGTCCTAGATGATCGATGAGCCCGGTCTGGGCACACCTAGGGTCGCCGTTTGATTTTAAGCAAGATTTCAAGGTAAAAATTTAAAACTAATATAGAATAAGGAGATTAGCATACAGCCATAAAAATAACATAGAAATTTCTTTTTCAAATAATTCCTTTTATACCCTAAAAAATCGAAGATTTTTGTGAAAAATGAGGGTCTTAAAAAATTAAACGTGGCTAAAATATATGGACTGGGTTGTGTTGAGCTGCCATTTCTATAAATAAAGAAAGGTTCAGAGTAACCTATAGTAAACTATAAATCCTTTTTCATTCAATTTTCTGTGCGTTCAGAAGGAAATTTTTAGGTGTGTCCAAACTGGTCACACTATGCCGCAAAGGGTTAACTTTCATTCTATAAATAATAATAGCATTTCTAGACTAATCTATGCCATGAAGCTTGTGTAATGCTGATGACTTAGTAATTGGAAACAAACTCTGGGAACTGAAACTTTTCTAGCTCAAACTAAAACCTTCCTCTTTGTGAGCTTCCACATTGGATAACTACGCACTTACCTTCTCTCTCTATGCTGCTGGCACGTCATTTCGCTGTGCTCCCTTCCTATCGCAAAAGTATAAAAAATGTAAATGATTTTTAAATAGGTAAGATTATAGTGTTAAGGGATTGTGGTCAGAAATGTTCATTTGGAAATAAAAATAGAGTTAAAACTGCCACAATTGCTAAGTTTCTTAGTTTTTATGAATTCTACATTATCAGTATCTTCGCAATCAGCATTTCTACGTCTCAGTGTTCCTAATGTAACACTTTTCTGAAATTTCCTTTTATTCCATATACAAGATTAAAAAAATCCAAATCTGCTATGTATCAATCGTCAATTTAATTTATCCATCATCAGTTTAATTTATCTATCGTCAATTTAATTTATCTAATTTAATTTATCTCTCATCAATTTAATTTATCTAATTTAATTTATCTATCGTCAATTTAATTTGACAATAGCTTAATTTCTAATTTTTTATTTGGATATTTTCTGTCTGTATTCTAAAAGTAGTAAGAACTTTTCTGGACCACACCATTTCTATATTAATCTGTCACATGGTTTGCGTAACGCTGATGTCGTAGCTAATTCGGAACTTTAACTAAAAATGTGAAGAACTGAAACCTTTCTAACTTAAACCAAAATCGCGCACTTTAGCTTCTACCTCAGCTACCACTCGGATGCTATTTCGCTGTGCTCTCTTCCTTTCACAACAGTATCAAAAATGCAAATATTCTGGAAATAGGCACAACTAGAGTACCAAGTGATTTAATTGTGGCCACAAATATCAATTGAATTAAAAATGAGTAGTAAAATAGTGAAATAAAGTTTTCTAATTATTACGGATTCAACATTTTAGCATTCTACACAAACAGAATTCTTCCTCTTCAATACAGATCTACATTTCACACTGTCTACACACTACGCCATCATTATTCCTGCATTTCTACGTTTCAGTGTTCTTACATCAGTATTTCTAAATTTGGTTTTATAACATTATAAATACAATACAAAGTCCGTAATCCGGACTCGTTGGGACTTCGGCGATACCAGATCAAGGGTTTTTCCGGATTATAGATCATCAACTTAAATCTAGTAAGATGGCATGCAGAAATTTAAAATTAAAAATATGAAACCGTAATTTATGAAATAAGAGCAATTATGATCTAAAGGGGTATCAAAATTTACAAAAAAAGAGCTTAATTTATTTGTGTACTTTATTAAATATTTCTTTTAATGCAAGTTGTTTAAGTTGCTTCGTTTTTTGTGATAAATGCATGCGTAAACATTAAATGCGCATGCATAACATTAAGCGCGCACGCGAAAGCATAAAAAAAGTTTGTGCTTTGAGGTCCGGATTATAGATCATTCCGGATAATGGACGTCCGGATTACAGACTTTGTACTCTATAAACTTAATGCATCTAAATTTATTATAAAAATAGAATAAAAGCAAAGCAATTCCTCAATAATATAATAATTCCAACCGTGTACAAGACGTTTAACACAATATCAAAACAAATCAAATTAAAGAAAGATTTCATAGTAGAACAAAGTTGAAAAATAAAAATGCGAAAGGGAAAATATACAAAATTATATAAATAACAATTGATCTCCTTTTGTTGAAACTCCAATTCAGAACTCATCAGAGAAAAATGAATTGAAGCTTCATAAAAGTCGATTAACATGTTTCGAAAATATGTTTCATTCTCCTGGTCTATTTGAGATCAAAAATCTTAAAAAGATTTCATCAAATTTTTATTAAAGACGTTAAAATTCATATAAAACCGAAAAATCGAATCTGAAATGTACCAGAATTTTCCCTACACATTTTCGAAATCCTTGGAAAAAGGAATAAAACATAACATTGTGCCAAAATGACAATTAAAAAACACAAAACTTAAATAAGTAATTTAGTTAAAGTAAGTTAAAATTATACGCAAATTAAGTATCAAGTATATATTTAAGTATTAAGTAATTTAATGAAAGCTGTGAATTATATATATAAACATACACATATGATTACTTTTAATACTGCAGATTGAAATAAAAATGAGAGATTGATAGAACTAGATAGTATATTTCATACATAAAATTTCAACGTTCTACGGCTAATCGTTTTTGAGTTAAGATACATATACAGTGTCTCAAAAAAGTGATGGGACACTTGTGCTTTACAAAAGGAAACTGCAATAAAATAAATTTAAAAAACATGTAAAATTTTTTGTGGGTGTGTTTCATACTTAAATTTAGTAACAATTATTACATAACATACATTTTCTCAAAATATTAAAATATTAATTTAATAAAAATACAATTGTTTAGAACGGAGCAGAAAATGGCTCACTTAAGTGATGGGACACTTACTTTTCCATCAAATATTTATCCAAAAATTTTACTTTTTAAAAGGTTTTAATATTTTGTTGGATTTCCTTTTACTTTTAAAACATGATTTAATCTTCTTGGGATGGATTCGACTAATTTTTTTGTGATTTCTGGAGTGATTTTACCCCATTCTTCTTGAAGCACCGATTTTAATTGTTGTTTTGAAGAAATGGTGTGTTTGCGAATTCTTGATTCCAATTCTTGCCAAATATTCTCTATGGGATTTAATTGTGGAGATTGTGGGGGTGTTTTTATTATTTCAGGACAGTTATACAGCAGCCAGAGTCTAACGTTCAAAGCACTGTGCTTGGGGTCATTGTCCTGGTAGAATTTAAAATCGTTATGAAGGTTCAATTTTCGTGCTGAAGATTTCAAATTTTGATTTAAAATGTCAATATACTTGTACTGATCCATTATACTGTCAATAAAAACAAGATTACCAACTCCAGCGGACGACATACACCCCCATACCATAACTCCTCCTCCACCATGTTTTACTGTTGGCACCAAGTTCTGTTTGCGAAATTCTTCCCTGGGTTTTCTCCACACCAAGATTCTACCGTCAGAACCAAATATATTAAATTTACTCTCATCAGCAAATATAACTTCATTCCAGTAATCAGAATTCTTATTTATGTTGGATTTTGCGAAAGCCAGTCTGAGTTTTCTATTCTTTTCACTTACGAAGAATTTTTTCCTGGCTGCTCTACCGTGATATCCAGTAGATCGAATTACTCTTCTAATAGTCTCAGAATTAACAATTACTCCATATAATGCTTGTAAATCAGCAGCAACTTTAGGAGCACTCATTCTTGGATTTTTTTTTAATATTTCGAACGATAATTCGCTTTATTCCATTGGATAGCTTTGATGGTCGGCCAGGTCTTCTTTTATCCTGAATCATATGATTCTTTTTATATCGTTTAATGATATTGAAAACTGTTGAATGACTGAAGTTAACTGTTTCAGTAGTTTCTCTAATAGATTTTCCACGTTCAATATGCAAATTAATAACTAATTTTCGAATTCCAGGCAAAGTTTCTTTTCGTTTAGCATTCATGGCTGCACAGAGCTAAAAAAAAACAAAAAAATTCCAAAACAAACTGGAGAGAAATACTGCAGACGATTTTATAAATTATTGGCAATTGCTTTTGAGTAAAAATAAATACCCCAAAAGATATTTTTATTGCTTACTTCAGACGATTTTTGTTGCATAGTACGTAGTGTCCCATCACTTAAGTGAGCCATTTTTCTGCTCCGTTCTAAACAATTGTATTTTTATTAAATTAATATTTTAATATTTTGAGAAAATGTATGTTATGTAATAATTGTTACTAAATTTAAGTATGAAACACACCCACAAAAAATTTTACATGTTTTTAAAATTTATTTTATTGCAGTTTCCTTTTGTAAAGCACAAGTGTCCCATCACTTTTTTGAGACACTGTATATACACGTGCATACAGACATCATAAAAGACGCCCTTTTGAATCCATTTTACAATCTGCTTTCGAAAAAGCCGTTTATTGTAGCCGTATGTATATATGTCACGAAAAGAATCGACCAAATAGATTTGGGAACAGTCAAAAATAGATATTTTCGCTGAAATTTCATCGGATATCATACTTCCTTTATTTCGTATAAGGAATTTGTAGTAAAAATAAGCACCTGGTTTAGAGAAGTAAATCTGAAGGTGAGATATTGAATATTTTATATTGAGTCTATATTAGGACAATAGAATTTTGATTTGATTGATTCCGCTATATATTTAGTTACAATTTTGGACAGATTTTGTTAAAAAATAATTGCATGAGACTTTCGTATAACTAAGCAACTGCATTAAGCAAAATACCAAGAATATCTCAAATTAATTAGTGGTTAGATATAAAATAAGGAATTAATATATTATGTAACAAAAGTAAGTAAATTAATACATTATGTAATTAGTATATTAAGGAATTTATATTATGTAGTAAAAACACTTACAAATCAATAAGGAAGAAGGAATTAATATATTATGCAATAAAAGGAATTAGTATATTATATAATAAAAGTACTTGCAAAATTAACTGAAGGTAAATTTACTTTGCGCATTCCAACGCTGTAGAAATGCCCTGCTCTGGCTTTTACAGCTTCAGATCCAAAGTCAGGATAAAATCGAGGATCGTGAACGTAAATCAAGACAGATGGAGTTTTGTGATCGTCGAGGTATTCTTCAGTCTGAACATCCAGGTCGAGAAGTAGCTCTAATAAAAAATAAACACATAATACACAGTTTACTATCCAAATTCAGAATCATAGAATTGTTTACAGTTTATTATAACTGTCATAGAATTTGTTTAAAATTCTCGTAGAATTTGCTATCAATAGTTAGAAATAAAATTTCAATCGTTAGAATATAAAGAGAACAGTAGATTAAATAAGCATTATTAATAACTAAAACAGTATTTTTCAGGAATAATCCATTTCGAATCTAGAAAAGTCATCATCCTGTTCTTGTATTTGAGGCTTCTGAAATCAAAGTTTCTGCGGCCATAATAAACGTTTTCCACGCCAATCCAAATGACAGCCGTTTCTGTTTCAAAACCACAGGCAAAGTACCACTAAGTTTCTTAAAGTCACCGTTCATTTGCAAAAAAATAATTCAAAAATTAGTTCTGTCTTCTCAGCAAAACTTCTTGCTATTCTCTACTTTGCTTTCGAATCCAGGACAACAAATAGTCAATGGATCAAAATAAATGATTAAATGCTTAGAAAGCAGACGATGTTTAAGAAAAGCAAGTTTAAATGTCATAGTAAAAAATGCTTAAGTTGTCGTTTGGCAGTTTTGATGGAAAATGATAAAATAAGTTGTTCTAAAACTTTTTGAAGCTCTGCACATGTAATTAATTCATTTCAAAGTTACGAAAAAGCCTTTACACAGGTTTTTAATAGTTAATCATATATAAAATACTCGTTTTGATATTTAATCGATAATTGAAATGATAAACCAATTTATACAAATAAAGAATTCGAGAATAATATAATCGTAGATTAATTCAGAAAAATTTTGATTACTGCAAATACTTTATATTAATTTTTATCGACGAATTCACAAGTAGATTAGCAGATCCAGTAGAACAAGTGTTGAAAAATATGAACAATTCTAGAGACTGCTTAGTTTTTCTAAGTTTGATTCAAAAAGAATATATAAAAATTCTTCTAAGATGCATAATTCAAATCTTCTTTCAAATCAGTAGAGAAAATTTCGCAGCAGTTAAACTACTCTAACAAAATAAAATATTTTTACTAGTATTTTGAAAATTCCTCATCGAAATATTTCCAGGTAATTAATACATGACAACGCCTCATTACATATTATTAATTATTTCCTATGTCTGCAGACGATACTGCCATCATTCTCAGAAAGCTATGGGGACAGCATGTTGACATCGATATTTCAATTTTTAGCACATAAAAGAAAATCAAAATTTAAAATATAAAATTAGATCAAATTCGACTTTAGATTAAAATTAATTTTTATGTTTAAACATTTATATAAAATTTGATACATGATTTTTGTCTAATAGTAAATTAATATACAGTGGTTCACAAAAGTGTTCGTATACTTACGAGCTTCAGTGAAATATTGCTTTATTCATTAAAAAATAATATTTTAGAATGAAAAATTTTTAATATCTCTAAACTTCTGTTGGCAAAACTACATTAATGACTTTATGAACATATTAAAACTTTTTTTGGAAAATCAATAATAAAAAAGTAACAGAAAAGTTACCTCACAAAAATCTTTGTATGCTTTAAAAAAATCTGCACATATTAGTAAATATTGTAGTATTTCTGCCAGCCTTATTTTGTGGTATATCCTGTAATCTTTATGACAGCTTTCGAACGTTTGGATATAGAGTTCACCAGTTTTTGTAATATCTGCATCAACATTCCTCCATTCTTCCATCATTACTGTTTTTAGTTCTCTTTTTGGTTTAAATCTGGTAACTGAGGGCGTGATTTCAGAACTTGTGGACAATTATAGACATCCAAAAGGCGAACGTTGAGGACTGTGTGCTTACAATCCTTATCTTAATAAAAAATAAATTTGTTTCCATTACCCAAATTTTGGGCAGATAATTTTAAATTATCCTTTACAATATTGAAATAAAGTGTATGGTTCATTGTGCCATCAGCAATTACTAAATTATTTAATCCTGATGCTGACATATACCCTCACACAAGAACACCTCCACCGCAATGCTTTAATCTACCAGACAAGGTCTTGGGATCAAGCTCCTCATTTTCTTTTCTCCATAGAATTAATTATACCGCTCATCGGAATCAAAAATATTAAATTTGCAAATAAGACATGATTCTCATACGCTTCAGGTTTATTTGACATTGATTTTGCGAAGAAAATTCTAGGCTTTCTATAATTAAGACACAATAACACGCCGAACAAATACGAGTTCAGAAGTCAAACAACAAAAATCAGCGTTATATTTCAAATTTTCACAGGACTAGTTTCGATAGTTTTACCACAACCACCACCCCTCAGCTGCAAAAACGCAAACGAACCTCATTCATTTGCGTTTTTGCAGTTGAGGATGGTGGTTCGATAAAACCATCGAAACTAGTCCTGTGAAAATTTGAAAATATAACGCTGATTTTTGTTGTCTGACTTCTGAATTCGCCTAGTTTTTCTATTTTTTGAAACTTTCAAAAATTTTTCTTCGTGCAAAGCGCTTATGACATCCGATTCAGCCGATCTGAGTAGTCGTCGAAGAGTTTTAAACGAAGCTGAAATAAAGAATGTTTCAGTGAATTCTGTACAAATCTTTAAAACACTCAAACATGTATGTTTCACAAATTTTTCTAACTATAAATCTCTAGTCACACTGAGTGACGTCGAGTCCTCTTTGCCAGACAAGATCTTACTTTATTTTGGATCCAATTTTCTTCTTTAGAGCACTTTATCACATAATGCACACGTAGAATGGGATAAATTTACTAATTTAGCGATATCCCGGATCGAATTTCCATTCCTATGATAAAAAATTATCAGTTTTCGAATGCTGTTCTTAGTTTACTTACGACTGCGAGCCATTTTTAAACATTAAATAAAATATAACGAACTAAGACAGCAAAAAATAAAGCCAGACAATTTTTTGAACGTCACCAAATGAAAAAAAAAAAAAAAAAAAAAAAAAAAAAAAAAAAAAAAAAAAAAAATGGTAGACGATAATTTTATTTATGAAATTTACGAAAATGTTTCCATGCACGATCACTTTTGTGGCGTGTTTCATCTATGCCTCCTTAGATTTCCAATTTTAGAAAAAAAAAGTCAATATTAGAAATTAAAAAGTTTAGTTTTATTCGAAGTCGCCATAGATATGATATGAAAAAATATTGGGCTTCATATTCGAATTTAATTCTGGATTACAGTGCTTTTCTGCAAATTCTTAAAGTATACGAAACACTTTGGGTTTGGTTTATTTAATTATGGCAAAGCACACTAGGGCTATCTGCCTAAGAGGAGGGATGCCTTCGTGGAGGACTTTCTAAGGGAAACTGACTCGTATACACGTATACATGGGGGGGAAACCACGAAAACGCCCATGCAGCCAGCCCGTTCGCGGGATTCGAACCTCAGACCGAACTACCAGTGTTCAGCAACTTTACCGCTCTGCCACTGACTGTATAATTTCCGAGTTAGGTCTTTATTTTCCCAATTAATGTATTCTCATTTTTTTTAAATTATCAAAACAAACCTGCTTTATGACGAGGAAAAGTTCATGCTTTAATTTAAGAACGAATTCTGACTCTTAAAATTTAACAGTTTTATTCAGTATTATGCAAGTAATTAGGAAAGCACCATTCAAAAGCATTATGCGGAAACGGACTAAGTATTTAAAAAACTAGCACTGAGAAATATCATGCAAAGTTGCGAAAGAAGAAAGATAATGGTATTTAAGCAAATAATTTACATGAGCCATTAAATAATATCGTGAATACATTAATCAGTTGGTTTGATTTTGTTTATTTGATTGTGGCAAAGCAATCGAGGACCATCTGCCTAAGGGGATGGAGGTCTTCGTGGAGGTCTTTCTAAGGGAAACTGGCTCGTATATACGTTACACATAGGGAAAACCACGAAAACGATTATGCAACCAGCCTGTTTGCCGGGATTCGAAACCTGGACCAAATTACCAGTGTTCAGTGACTTTACCGCTCGGAGGTTGGTGTACTCAGTTAACTGGCTATTTTTTATTTATTAAGATTTAGGCATTATAAAATTATCCAAAATCGTTCCACTTGTCATTTCGTCGTTTATCTCTAAAACGTTTTTATCCTGTTTAAAAAGATGAAACACGTCAGAGTATTCTTGTTCCTTGTAATTGATTAAAGTTGATAACCAGTGTTGCGGGAAAAAATTCATTTTTTGAGCTGTTGCAAAATACACCGAGTCTACGAAAGTCCTTATGCGACCTTAGTTTTTACAATAGTTAGAAACATATTTCCAATTACAAGAATACAGTAAGACCCCGCTTAACGTTGTTTCGGTTTAGCGCTCTTTTATTTCAACCCGGGGATTCCACGAAATTGCTCGCAGCATACGGGGATTCCCCGAATATTATGCAGCGATAGGTTTCAAATACATATCCGAAAGAGTGTACTTGTATTTCTTGTTTGGTGCGGTATTGTACAGACATATTTTGAAGGGGTAATGTGGAAGATGTCGAAGAAATAATTCAAGAAGCAGCGGCTAGTCTTTCTAATGATGAGCTCAAGGAATTAACTGAACAAGAAGAAAACAAAAATGTTGACAGCAGTGATTCAGAAGAAGAGCAAAAAGAACTTTCGATGGCGTTTGTAAAAAAGGAGTTTGTCTACTATAACTGAAATAATGGATCAATTCATTGAAAATGATCCGAATTTTGACAGGAGCTCAAAAGTAAGGCGTGTGTTAGAGATGCTCTATCCGTTTATGAAGAACTTTTAAGAGAACAACGCAAAAGAAAAAGGCAAACAACCATTAAGATGCTTTTGTCACAAAAAGGCAGAACACTGAAAACGCGGAAGGCTAACTAAATATGACTGACTGAGAATTTTATTTGTTTTTTTTTATAATATTCGCTTTGTTATTTATATTTTGTTTTTATTTTTGCAAGAAATAATAATGTGGTATTAATTTGGGCTTTAAGAAATAAATGTTTGGTTTTATTTTTATTAAAAAAAACATACTTTTTAAATTTAATACCTAACCAATTTCCTAGCCATCTTCCCCTAACCCCAATATTTACATGTAAAGATAGCCTCGTTTAGCGCTGTTTCGCATTACGCTCTACTTGATGGAACGTATCCCACGCGTTAAGCGGGTCTTACTGTATTTAAACGATGCAAATATTCATATTCTGGTACTTTTAATTTCTTTTTTCTTTTTACTTATTACGTGCTCCGCCCTTAGGCACTACACGGAAAGGGAGGGATGCCCTGTGGAGGTCTTTTCAAGAGAAACTGGCTTCTATCCACGTTACAAATGGGGAAAACCGGCGAAAATGCCCATCAGCTAGACCGTTAGCCGGGATTCTATCCCCGGATCTAACTACCAGTGTTCAGCGGTTTTTACCGCTCGGACGATGCTGGCCCACTTTTAAAGTGAACGACGAAATTAAAATTCTTGTACAGTTTTCTAGAAACAGCTTATAATAATTTTTAAAAATATAGGAGAGAACGGTTGAATTCTGTGCTACAAAAATCGACACAGACATGTAATTGCAAAATTCGAGATTTTTGGAGATTTTACGCCACTCTAGAAATCTCCCAATTTCAACGAGGGATTTTTAATCTTAAAATCTAGAGTTTTAACCTCGCGTTTCTAAATCACAATCATAGCCAGCTTGGCTAGGATTGTAATTATTTACACAATCATAAATGAATGTGATGAAAAAGCAATCTAAACTTTTCCAGTGAAGTAAATAAGAAGTAATCACGAAAATAACAAATGTCCTGCTAGTGGTTTTTCAAGGAAATTACAGTTGATATATTTATTTATATTTGTATATTTACTGTAGGCTAAATTCGCTACTATTCGTTGATATATTTACCTGTAGGCTTGTTCCACATATCAGATTCGTAGGCGTATAGCATTTTGTGGTCTGGCATATTCCACTGCGCGTTGAATGTGAAGCAATTCCCGTGCTCTGCGTTATGATGCAACCTGAAATGTCTGAAATGTGGAGGGGGAGTTAAATGTAATTGTTAACATAGCATTTTACTATAAAATAACAAAATCTCAGGCGCAATCAGCTTAGAATTTCTAATGAGAAAAGTAAAAATCTATTATCTATCAAATATACTATAGAGTCTTGATTATCCCGCTTAAGGATTAACCGGTTTATGGATTATCCGTGTGTGGCGGTGGTTTCGACTCACACTCAACGCTATGGGCGAGAGTGTGTAAAAAACACACGCACAAATGTGAGGTCGGAGAAAGATTCTTCTTAATCCAGAAATCGGAGATTTATCTAATTGTGAAGAAGTTGAGGTTATAAGGTATTTCTCCCGCTTCTCTAACGTGCCTTCGTGGTGTAGTGGTTCTGCACACTGAGCCGGTATTTCAGAGGTCCGTGGTTCGATTCCCGGCGAAGACGGATGCATATTTTTCATCTCTCTGGCTTCCAAAAAATCCTAATGTCTCTACAAGTGCTGATCGAACTAAAAGGGTTGTGGATGATGATTCTCCGCACCCAGGATTTGGCAACTAGGTCCCCTAAAACCCTAGTCGCCCTTAAAAAGGGCAGTATATAAGATACTTCTCCCACTTTCCTAGCGTATGTGTAACGGTACTTCACATCGTGGTGTAACGGTAGCACGCTGGACCGGTATTCCAGAGGTTCGTGGTTGGATTCCCGGCGAAGGCGGTTGCATATGTTTCAGCTTTTCTGCTTCCAATTAACCTAATGACTCTACAAGGTAATAATGGAAGTTATTACACACACTGGCCAATGAATTAGAAACCTGTGAGATTGTCATCTGAATGCGCGCTAAGGACTGAAGCACACAATTTTTTTTTTTATGACGTAAGTTACACATGGTTAGAATGCTAGTATAACTAAAGTGTAAAAGTGCTTTCCACGATGAATGAAGTAAAATGGACAAAACGTCAGATCTTTCACTATTTGAAAAAAATGGCTTATTGTTGGTGCCCGTTTAGCCGGGGCATCAATTTCGAAGACGTGCAAATCTCACTGAGTGATCAAAAGCAGCCATTTCAAAGGTTTTCAAAAGTTCGAATCAGAACCCACAGACCTTCTCTAGAAGACGTAATTGCGTTCGAGCAGTTACCCAAGGAGCGTTCTGCGTCGTCTACGACGAATTGTAGGGCAGAACAAGAACTCTACTGTGCCTCAGCTGACACAGATCGTCAACCAAGGTCTTCCCCCCAACAGATTTCAGCTCGAACCATGTGCACAGAATTGCAGAGGATAGGAATACATTGTTGGATACCTGTGAGAAAACCACTCGTTTCTTCCCGACATGCAAGAATTCGTTTGCAGTGGTGTTGGGAAAGAAGAAACTGCACATCTGAGGATTGGAACGGGTAATGTGGTTGAATGAATCACGCTACACCTTATTTTGCACTGATGGAAAACGTCGAATGTGGCGAGAACCCCACGAAACCATGAATCCATCTTGCCTTACTCGCACTGTGGAAGGGGGAGTATCTTGATAACGGGGAGCATATTTCATAAGTGCACATCAGCACATCATTTACAGAGCCATTTTATTTCGAACAAATATGTGAAGAGGGGGAGGAAATTTAATATTCACAGCGTTTAACCTAGAAATGAGTTCCTTTTTGTCCATCCGTGAGCTTTGAACAATAGAACAACAAATGTTCGACATTTTGCACTCCCCCCCCCGAAACTGCATGAACAAAAGTCTGTACTAGATAATCTAAATTTCTTTAGATATGAATTGAAATTACCATGTCCAGTTAGAAATTAAATAATTTCAAAATTGCAAACAAAGTGTTTATTATTCAATCTGTGAGGAATGGGAGGAAAATATAATTTAGTCAAGGAGGCAGTAGTAGAATTCCTGTATAATTCATTCCACTTGACTATTGTAATATCCCTATTTTTTCCCCTTGAAATATGACTTAGGCAGTATCATTGGAGTATTGACTTGGATATTTGTAGCTTATTTTGCCAACCAATCGGCCCTTTCATTTCCTAGATTACCAATGTCGCCACGTACATGAGAAAAGGTAGCCTGGACCTTTACCCTATAGAACATGTGTGGGATATGCTGGAAAAACGCATCCGACAGTACTCTCCTCTTCCATCTAATTTACAGGATCTAAAAAGCTCCATGTTCACTGGCCAGTGTGTGTACTATAACATATACTTTTTTATTTTTTAAAAAGAGTTGTATGCCCAAAAAATTAAAATATACAATTCTTTGAAAATGTTGATTGCGAAAAATCGAGGAGTGGTTGGATATTTGCTTGACTGTGCCGGGCTTTCAATCTTTCAGTGATGCGGATATCGTTTCAAATGTGACCAGAACACATGAGGCAGAGATACCAGAAAAAGATCCTGGCAATTCATTACATCAGTTCCCAAATAGCATCGACTTCTATTGAAACTCCACTGGACATCTTCGACGAAAGGGGATTCGAATAAAATAGTATTTCGAAAAATATTCAGACAAAACAGACAAATATTTAAACGGTCAAAGTAACACTGATTTTTTTTTTCTTTTTCAAGAAATAAATGCATGCAATATGCACGAAAATTGATAACCTGCGTTATCCCTGTTTTTCAGTTATCTGTGATCTTCTTTCCCGGCATTAGCGCAGATAATCGAGAGTACATTGTAGCTGAAACTGGAAAACTCAAATTTTCAGCTTATTATCAAGAATAGAAAAACTTCGATTTTTATAATACATATATGTTCATTTTTAATTCTTGAAATATAATTCTATAAAATATATGTTCCTTTTCTATATAATATATATTCTATATAAAAATTCTATATAATATATGTTCATTTTAATTCTTGAAAGAAATATAGATTAAAACAAAAAGATAAGTAAATAAATAGTACTCCCGAAAATTGAGAATTATAAGTAGCATTTATAAAATTATTTTGATGGTGCTGCCATCTAGTAGAAAAGGCAGAAACTTTTGTGTCCTTCCGATTCCATTTATATCCTACAAAACGCGCTGTTTTTGCGATTGAAATAGCAAATGCAATTAAAAAATCATTCTAAACTGACGCATTTTTTAAATAAAAGGCCAATCTAAACAATTTAAATTCTACCAGGTACATTAAAAGGAATTCTTACGTATTTTCCTTTATTTGTATAAAACATACTCGAATTTGACTTTTTCACTCTTATTTGCTTACAAAGAAATTCGAATTAGAATATACAAAAATCATACGTATAAAAATCTTACAGTATCTTGTCTTTCCATAAGAAAAATTAGGCATTCTTCTAAGAAATTGTTTATTTGGTCTCGTTCGTCGGTTCTGGTAGAAAATGATGTAAGGTATAGCACAGATTTGGACACGTTTTAAAAACCTTAAATAATAAGCAGGTGTATGCATCATATTGATAATGCAGTTAACGCCGGAGCACTTATTTCAGTGGTAGATTTATTACGGCACAAAACACACTGTAGTTTCAGTTCTGACAGGCAGGATCAGGAATTCTGGAAATTTCAGGAACCGCCGATCACTAAAGATGCAAGTTCAGATCTCCCTTATGCAAGTCGGTAGTCACTCGGACGACCTTTATGCAAGTCGGCAGTTGTTAGCCTAAGACATAAGCCATCATGAAAGTGCTCTGACATAAAAGTACCAAATTATCTCGACCAAAGGTGCTTACTCCAAGTCATAAACCGGCCATTTATTGGCAAAATGTTGACCAAAAATGTGTGTTATACAAAAAATATTTATGTGCAGTTCAAATCATTAGGCATATACTTTTCTTCATAGTAAAATTTGTTCATTTTCTATGATTATTTAAGATATTGTTACGAAATCTACAGGCGCGGTAAGATGGCTTCCCCCTCAAAGCAGTTTTAGGGTCCATAAATGCAAAGGAAGGCAGGTTGCCACATTTGGCAATAATCGCCCATATTGGCGACAAAATGGCGATTGTCCATGGACGGATGGAGAACCTTTGAACGAATTCTTACGGTTTAGTTAAAGTTCTCTAACCACAGCCAAAGCTATATAACCTGATGGTCTCAGTCATTTAGGGCGTGCCGTCAGCGGCTGATAGTCGTAATTGAGCGGCGTCTCGAGTCTTCGTCGAGTGCATCGAGAGAGTCTTTATGCATCGCGAATTAGTGCAAACGTCGAGTTTTGTCTTAGACTGGGCTGAGTGGAGAGCTATCCTCTTGTGTCCCTCGAGTGTACGCGTGGAGAGTCTCGAGAGTACGTGGATTCCGAAAGACCGACACAGTTGGGAGCTGTACTCGGTGCTTTGCAGTGAAGCTGTTCCACCGTATTGCCTGAGTAGTGGTAAAGGCGGTCGCTGACGTGCCAGCTGTTTTATAGCAGTTCGACGACTGTAAAAGTTATTTGAGCTTGTCCTGAGAATTTTGGTGATAAAGTGTGTTCGTATTCATCAGTTCGTCGCATTCACTCCAATCTACAACCCCGTACAACGTGAAGAAGAAAATAACGTAACAACTGGTGTCAGGAAGAGATAAACGTAACAATATGTTTAAATTTAAAGTTATATGAGCTCTAATAAATCTTAGGAGGAAAGAAATTCTACTTACTTATAACACTGATCCTCGTCCATTTCCATTCTGCCATTCAGTTTACATTTGATGATCATTTTATCTTTCGTGTGGCCAAGGCGCACACGATCACTGCGGTTCATGCGCCAGTAGTCCTCGTACTAGAAATAAAACAGTAAAGAAAGAAAAGAATATCAAACATTTTTAGTGTATAAGTAAACGTATACTACAACGCATCTGCAAAGTTTTAGAAGTAATAAGCGTGTGCAAACTTCTTTCACTTTTTAGGCTCGAATATACAATTCTTGTAAATCTACAAAACGTTTGGCATATTCCCACAACTGCTAATTTCGCCAGCAGAACTCATCTTTTGGAATACTATTTATGTCGCTAGCTACGGTTTTTTTTTAATCTTTTCGTTACTATTAAAATAATGCCCATTTAATAAGATTTCACTTTAAAGAACAGGGAAATAGATTCTGCCAGGTGTCAGATTTGTTCGCCGAGAGAGGATGAGATGGTTGAGAATTGCGATACTCTTCTTCGCTAGAAACTGCCAGACGAGAATGGATTTATGTGAAATGCATTGCCATGCAGAACAAACCAATTATTTAGGCCTAATGCGCTTAATTCTCTTCAAACGTTTATCCATTGGGTCTTTGTAAAACAGGACGTCCACAGCCAGTTTCTCAAGAATACACTCAATGTGAACTATCCTTTTTGGAATCAAGAATGATCTTTACCCGGGATTTCTGAAATCGAAACTTCTGTGGTGGTGATGAAGTTTTTGCAAGTCAAGCAGATAACGGCCTTTATGTCTGTTCTTCTTTTGATCTCAATCAGATCAGATCCGTAAGTTCATTCGCTTTCACAGCTTCCAACACGAACTTAGATCTCCTCGGCAGATCTTCAGACAACACAACTAAGTAGATGATGAGCAGTGGCTTCATGATTTTTACATTTGGCGCAAGTGGGAAAGGTTTAAATACCACCGGAATATCTGATGGTCCTTAAATGTCGTGATCACCGAGCCAGAGCTGTTTGGCGCTTCCTGTCAGCCTTGAAACCAACAGTGGTACCAGGACCTGTACTACGGTACTATGAGCAGGTCGGTAGCTGTCTTCAGGAATTGTTAATTAAAGCCTTTTTTCTCGAATATAGTTCAAGGTAAGTTAAAGGTTGGGCCGCACAATCGGCATAGTTGTCCCCTGACCATAGGCCTAAGCTGACTGCGATGCCGAAGGGCCTGGATTCGAATCCCGGACGAAGGCATGGTTGTAACTGTCCGTCCTTTTATAGGAAAGGCGATGCTGGTCCACCTATTAGGTGCCTCCATAATAAAGAGACCACCACATCCGGCCTTGTATAGATTAATGGACTAGGTTACATTTGTAATTATTCATAATCTGCCACTGGAAAAAAAAAGTTAAAAGGTTGAGCATAAACCTGAGGCAGGGAAGTTCGCTCCTTTGCTAGTCTATCAGCTGTATCATTGTATTTTACATTTATATAAGATGGTATCCACTGTAGATGGAAAACAGAAGAATGGGACAAAGTGTTGAGTTTTTCAATAACTAATTTCTCTGAGGTCCGTTATGTTTCATAATCATAAACAAAACACCAACTTCCCTGACTACCATCATACTACTCATCTACCATCATAATTTGTTTGAAAAAAAAATCAAAATTAATTCAGTTTTACTTGAAAATTTTAGTTCCGGTCTTTTCCGAGTCCAGAACCACAGATATTCACTGGATCAAAGCAAGTAATAACCGCATAGAAAGATTTGTCTATAAACAGACGATACTTTAGAAAATGCAGATAGAGACCATATAAGATTAGGTTTATGTGATTACGGCAAAGCCTCGAGGGATATCTGCCTAAGGGGAGGACTGCCTTCATGATGGACTTTAAGGCAAACTTGCTCGTATACATGTTACCGTGAAAGACCGAAATTGGAGAAATGTCGACTTTCACCGAAGAATGTCAACATTCACCAAATGACGTCGGTGAAAGATCGAATATTTCTTTACATTCTTGTATATCGGACCCTCACCAGAGTATGTCGACAATCACAGATATGCTCTGGTGTAGGTCGAAAAAGAGAAAAAGAAGAGTATATGTACACGCTGCCATTCCAAAGGAAAGTGTTCCACAAATAAATGCAGTTATAAACGCAAAGGCCTCTGCGCCAATCAAGTGTCATAGTTAAGTTGTTGCAATAAATAAGATTTGAATCACATAATTTGGTAAGTTTTATAACTTCTATTATTTTCCTTTCTCATTTTGAATTATACTGTGTGTTTTAAGTTCTTATATTCTTAAGTCTTATCTGAGTCTCGAGTGCGTTTTTTCGCGAAATGAATTACGGAGAAGGAAATATAATATTCTTATATGTTCAACATTCACCATTAGTACGTGGTGAATTCGACATTACCGGTTAAGTCAGAAATAAGAGTATTTGGAAAAATATTTCGGACATACACCAAGCGACTTGATGTTGACATTCACCGGTGAAAGTCGACATTCTCCAGATTTCGGTTGTTTCATCGTAAATACCGGGGAAAAACCACGAAATCGCCCATGCAGTCGTCCCGTTAGCGGGATTCGAACCTTATAACTAACTGTCAGCGTTCAGCGACTTTACCGCTCGGCCACAGATGAGCCTGAGATGGCCCTGAGAATAAATATTGTCAGTTATCATTTGACAGATTTGTTCTAATTTGCTTAAATAATTAGTCGTGAAACTTTGTAGATGCACTGTGTATGTGTATGAACAACTTAATATGCTTCAGTTTTTGCTAATTATGCAGGAGACTTTATAAAATCTTTTCGTTAATCGTAACTGCACCTACGAAAATAGGAATTAAGTTATTGACAAACGTATACAGAAGTTACTTACCTCTTGCACGTGATCGTAAGGTGAGCAGTAATATTCACGGCAGTACAATGATTTTATTAACCTGTAAAAGAAATATTTTACAGTTGTCAAATAACGTACATCACATTTTAATTAAACAAAAATGAACTATTAAGTTAAATCTGAATATTTTCAACTTTTGTTTCATTTTGTTAATACAAGTTGATGTTTTTCTTTAGGGCCAGACACTTGCAATTTAATGCATTTTTCTAATATGGTCAATACAATTTTTGGCAAAAACGTGAGCCATAGGCGGCGATCAAATTTACATCCACGAAAATAGGGTGGTGGTGTATGTGATTATGACCGAGCCTCGAAAAGGTTATCTGCCTAAAGGGACGAACGCCTTCGTGGAGGACTTTCTAAGAGAAACTGTCTCATATACCCGTTACACATGCGGAAAACCATGAAAACGCCCATGCAGCCAGCCTGTTCGCGGGGTTCGAACTTCGAACCGAACTACCAGTGTTTAGCGACTTTACCGCTCGTCCACTGATGGGCCAAAAACAGAGAAGTTGCATTAAAAACGTCCCGAGAAACGGATCTGAAGGTATCGTATCCCTCTTTCCTTACTGCTAAGTCTCTCAAGAGGACACTGAAATAGATACAATTCGAATCTATCCAGAAGATACAGCCACCAACTGCGCTAACCGCAACACTGATCAATGTGTTTGGTTCCATTTTATTAGGCCTACCATCGGTCGAGTGGTAAAAATCACTGAACACCGGTAGTTCGCTCCGAGCCCTCCAAACGGGCTGGTTTTCATGGTTTTTTTCCATGTGTAAATTGTGTATACGAGCCAGTTTCCCTTAGAAAGTCTTCCGCGAAAGCATCCCTCCCTTTAGGCAGATAGCCCTCGAGGCTTTGCCGTAATGACATAAACCATACCAATCATTTTATATGAACATTGGAGAAATTCTACTATTGTTTTCACTTGCTTGATAAATCTTCTCCATTACAAATAGAGACCAGACAAGGGACAACACTATTTCGATCAATGAAAAACGAAATCTTTGTTTCATCTTCCGCATTATAAAAATGCGTTTCTAATTGCGTACATTTAGAATTTCTCAACATAGTTTGGCAAATGAGTGATGTTTTATATACATTAGCATAACAGCATTATTTTACTATTACATTAGTTTAATAAATAAAAAAATTTCTGATTGGTATCTCAACATGAATATCAATCTGTAATTAAAATTTCAAGATCCGTTTAAAGAGAATTTGTGAAAAATAGCGAGAGTTTGCTTTAAAAATTTATCTTCTATTAATTTCTTGGAAAGGGGGGATGAGTCAAATACATTTTTACTACAGTACCGGATTCTACAAATTCTGGAAGCCCAAAAGCGTCTAAAACGAAAGTCTGAAAGAGATGTAATAGAAAACAAACTTTATAAGTTGCTCTCGTGTAATAAAGCTGATCAAAGTAAATGTAATCCTAAATAAACAACTTCTTATGCACTTTTTGTAACATAAGACTTTTAAGTACAGTACAAAGTCCGTAATCCGCACTCGTCGGGACTTCGGCGATTCCGGATTACAGATCATCAATTTAAATCTGGTAAGATGTCATTCAGAAATTATACAATTAAAAATATGAAACCGTAATTTATGAAATAAAGAGCAATTATGATCGAAAGGGTATTAAATTTTACAAAAAAAAAAGCTTAATATTTATTTGTTTACTTTATTAAACATTTCTTTCAACACGCGCATGCGTAATGTATGCGCATTCTCTACGCGCATGCGTAAAGTTTGTGGCTTTGAGGTTTGGATTATCGATCATTCCGGATAATGGACGTCCGGATTACAGACTTTGTACTGTATAAGTGTGGTTTCATTGACCTTCCAGTATTTTCGTCTGTTGTATTCTTTCTTCATGTGGTTTGATATGATTCTTTTGATGGTTAAGACAAATTACTTTATTCATCAGAATGCAAGAGATATACGAAATTAAAGCTGATGATTTAGAACCAGTTTTCTCAAAACAGGCTCTACATGAAGAGTTCCTTAGTGGGCTCTGCATGCACCTCCTGGGATCGATTACGTTTTAAAGGGGGGCAATGATGATCATAACCCACCTGCAGACGAGCGGTAAAGTCCCTGAACACTGGTAGTTCAGTCGGAGGCTCGAATCCCGCAAACTGGCTGGCTACATGGGCATTTCCGCAGTTTTCCCCATGTGTAACGTGTTAATACGAGCCAGACCCCCCCTAAAAAGTCCTCCACTAAGGCATCCTTTCCTTCCGTGTAGTGCCTTAGGGCAGAAGACCTAAAAAAATATTGATGATGATAATGATCAAAAGGATAGGTAGCCGAATATGCAGGACCATCTGATCGGCATAATAATGCCATAAATTGTAAAATTTATTGATATTGCAAATACCTGTTGATATAAAGCTGTGTCATGTAGAGAGGAAGAAATCGTATAAAATAAATACAAAGGGAAAAACAAAAATTACTTATTCAAAAAAATCAGTAATATTTTTAAATACACAATTATTTTTTTAAAAGCTTACATTATAAAAAAGAAAACACAGATACACAACCAAAAAAAAAAAAGAAGAATGCAAGATTTACTCAGAAGGCATTGTTATACACAAGCTGCGGCCTACCAGCGGCCGAGGTGTAAAATCACTGAACACTAATAGTTCGGTTCAAGGTTCAAATTCCAACGAACGGGCTGGCTGCACGAGCTAGTTTGTGATTTTCCCCCATGCGTAACGTGTATATGGACGATTTTCTCTTAGAAAGTCTTCCACGAAGGCATCCCTCCTCTTAGGTAGATAGCCCTCGAGTGCTCTGCCATGAATAAATAAACCAAAACCAATTAATATAAAAGCTTCTTGCATAATTTAAAAGAAGATTTTAATGTTAGCTTCCATGTCGTTGAAAATTTGCGTGTGCGACCATAGCTCATAAAACCGCTCAACTGAAATGTACCGGATCTTGATATTATGATGCGAGAAAAATTCATGGCACAGAAGGAGGATGTTCAAGCACAAGTCTTATTCAAAACACACGTGTGCGCAAAGTCTTGGAATTTAAAAGACAGAGAAATATCCCCCCAATGAATGTTGCTGCAGAAAAGCATTATTGACTTTTCCTTCTTCTGACCTAGCAGCAGAAGTTTTTAGTCAAGTCAATAAATTTACTACGAAAGAAAGGGAAAAGTTCAGTTTGGAAGGAGGTTTGGTTGGGTTTATTTTAATATGGCAAAGCACTCAAAGCTATCTGCCCAAGAGGAGGGGTGCCTTCGTGGAGAACTTTCTAGGGGAAACTGGCTCGTATACTCATTTATACATGAGAAAACAACGTAAACGCCCATGCAGCCAGCCCGTTCGTGGAATTCGAACCTCGGAACGAACTCCCGGTGTTCAACGACTTCACCACTCGCCTGCTGGTGGACCTCAGTTTTGAAAGAAGTGCGTTAAGATCGGCTTCGTGATTATGGCAAAGCTTTGAGGGCTATATACCTGAGGGAAAAGATGCCTTCATGGAGGGCTTTCTAAGGGAAACTGACTCATATACACATTATACATGAGAAAAGAAACACAAAAACTCCCATGCAGTCAACCTGTTTGCAGGATTCGAAGCTCGGACCGATTTACCAGTATGCCTTTACCGCTTGGCCGCTTGATGGGCTCAGAGGAGTTAAAGAATTTAGTTAGCAATTTTATGCCCAAAATTTAAAAAAATTACATCACTACATAGAGCGCGGCCATCCCATAAATAAAAAATCGGCCTTTTGTGCAATTAAGATCTCATTTTATTTCTAAAAAAACTTATTTATATTCGATAAAGTCGAAAAATAGTCCAAAAAATAATCTGAAAGGTTTCAGATTTTAAATTGCGTCCAAATGGGAGTTTTTTTACCATTTTGTTTTCCAGGTCCCGAAAGCTGCCTAAATATTAAATTTTGTAAAATTTATTAGGAAACTTATCTAGAAATTTAAAAATTTATCTTGGCGCACTTTCCTCAATCTGCGCCAAGAATAATTAACTTCGCGAACTCCTTATTTATAGTAACCTCTGTTCCTTTACTTTTCTTCGTTCTACACCAGCGGGAAAATGCCATCGTACATGCTTTCAAATATTTTTTTAACAAAGAGCGTAAACCACATTTGGCGTTATATCGCTTATAACGAAATGCAATTCGGAACTCGCCAATCTATAAAGTCACGTTTATCTTAGGAAATTAAATATAGGACTAATTTGCGGCATCTTAGAACACATCTACTTTAAGAAGATAGGTAAAAATTTATGGGTTATAAAAACTAAATTTTTTTCGAAAAATGTATAAAAAATATTTTCAAAACAAATTTTAAAAATGAATCATAAAAAATAGGCGAGTTTTTATTGGAATGAACTTAAATTTCGAAATGCAAAGGAAGAATCAAATAAGTTTAAAAAAAAGATATTAATAAACATTACCAATTCAATTACCGAAGGAGCTAAAATTTTTTTTGAGAACTACTATGCGAGTTGACAAACTTAGCACTGGGGCATAATTTAAGTCGTAGAATAGAAATAAAAAAAAAAAAAAAAAAAAAATTGTTGTTATTCGGGAAATCCAATTTTGGTTCAAATACCTATTTCGAACAATCCGATATATAAATCTAAATATTCCTAAGCGCACTTCAGACATGAAAACGCAAGTAAATTTAGCAATCGGTCGATTTTAGCATAGTAGACGGGACGCATAGTTCAGAAAGTGCCACATCTGTGTAGCCACCGAGGGAGTGGCTTTAGGATGGACCAATGGCATCCGGTGATATTCCGTCATGTCACTGCCATTCGCGTGCTTTAAGATTAAGCAAGATGGTTGAAAATTTTCTGCCCCAATTTCTGTACAAAACAATTTAAGCATCGTCGATGCTTCTGAAACTTTCATTGGAAATTGATCACTATAAGCAATTATGAAGATTCACTACATGGTGAAATAATACAAAACATGTTGGTACTCGCAAAAATATCGATGTGAAATATTACTATAAGTGGTAAATAAGATGAAAAAATATGTGATAAAAATCTGAGCC